AGATCCAGGCCAGCTAGGGAATGAAAGCAAGAACCTGTTCAAAAAATAAATAAAGCAATCCAGGCACCAGTGGCTCACGCCTGTAATCCTAGTTTCTTGGGAGGCAGAGATCAGGAGGATTGCAAGTTCCAAGCCAGCCCAAGCAAATAGTTTGTGAGACGCTATCTGAAAAAACCCATCACAAGAACAGGGTGGTCGAGTGGCTTAAGGTGTAGGCCCTGAGTTCAAATCCCAGTACCCCTATATATATATATAACTAAATATGTATCTATATAACTATATATAAAATACATACATATATATATATATATATACATATATATGTATATATATATATATATATATATATATATATATATATATATAGAGAGAGAGAGAGAGAGAGAGAGAGAGAGAGAGAGAGAGAGAGGTGTGACTCAAGTGGTAAACCTACCTGGTAAACTGGAGGCCCTGAGTTCAAATCCCAGTTCTGGTCCCCCAGAAAAAGAAGTATATTTCCTGTGCTGAGGCTGCTGAAAAGTCCAAAATAGAGGGACCATATCTCATGATGGCTTTTGTGCTGTGTTAATACATGGCAAAGGTACCACATGGGAGACAGGGGGACAGGGAGAGGGAGCATGGAGCTGGAGTAAGACCAGGTTCCTCTAACTTACATCTGGTCGGAAGCACAGGTAACAACCCAGGCTAGTGAGTGGCTTCTGAAATGGGGGGGTCATCATATGGGATGAAGCCTCTTAGCTGTAGGATTTGCTGTCAGTCATGTCAGATTTGAGCCAAATTATACACACAGACTCGGTTTGGGTGTCTGTGAAGAATGGAAGAACTACTTGCCGTGCCCTCTGGTTTGAGTGTGTCCTTTAAAAGCTCCAGGTGTTGAAATTTCATCCCCATGATGGGATATTAAGAGTAATTTAATCTGACTCTGGTGGGAGTTTTGGGAGGTTATTAAGATTCTGTAAAGTCAGTAGGGTGGAGGAATTCCCATGATTGAGTGAATCCTGGTGGTTTTGTAAGGAAAGAGAGACCAGGGCACTGGTGGTTCACGCCTGTAATCCTAGCTTCTCAGGAGGCAGAGATCAGGAGGATCGAGGCTTTTGTGTGTGTGTGTGTGTGTGTGTGTGTGTGTGTGTGTGTGGTACTGGGATTTGAACTCAGGGCCTTCACCTTGAGCCACTCGACCAACCCTATTTTTGTGATGGGTTTTTTTGAGATAGGGTCTCGTAAACTATTTGCCTGGGCTGGCTTCAAACTGTGATCCTCCTGATCTCTGCCTCCTGAGTCACCTGGATTATAGGCATGAGCCACTGGCTCCCACCTTAAATCTCTCTTCTTTATAAAGTTTCTGCACCTCAGGCATTTCCTTAGAGTAATGCAAACTGCCTAATGCAGTATGGGAGAACCCCCCAAGCCCCACCACACTTGGTGTCAGGAGCAAGGGAAAAATAGTTTTGCTTTTCTGATATCCATTTCCCACAGCCTTGGCCCAAACTGGTTTCTTTCTATCATCGTTTTGCAAAATATTCTGCCCAGATACTAAAGTCATGGTGTCTTCCTCCACCAAGAGATTAACAAACCACAGACTTAACTGACGTCCTTTTTCTAGTCCATGGTTCCACCAAGGACATTTAGTTGTCACATCTTTGTAGTCCCTTGTGATGGATGACAGTTTCTGTAGTTTTCTTTAGTTGTCAATACTTGACACCTTACAAGTGTATTGCTATTTTTTTTTTGAGACAGGGCCTCCCTATGTAGCCCAGGGTGGTCTTGAACTCACGATCTTCCGAACCTCTGTTTCCCAAATGCAGGGATTATAGATGTGAGCCATACTTGCCTTCTGTTCAGATTTTTAAAAATAGACTGTTAGGTGGGCGCAGGTGACTCATACCTGTAATCCTGGTTACTTGGGAGGATCAAGGTTTAAGGCCAGGCTGCACAAATAGTTTGCAAGACCTCATTTCCAAAATAACCAGAGCAAAATGGACTGGACCTGTGGCCCAAGCAGTAGAGTGCCTGCTTTGCAAGTGAGAAGCCCTGAGTTCAAACCCCAGTCCTACCAAAAAAAAAATAATATCCCTCAGTAGGGAAAAATATTGGATGTTTTGTCATGATTAGACTAAGGTTGTAGGTTTTGAGCACAGCATCAGAGAGGTAAAAATGCCTTCCTGAGGCAGGTGTGGTGGTACACACCTGTAATCCCAACTCCTTGGCAGGCAGGGTAGGAGGACTTTGAGTTTGATGAGGCCAGCCTGGGCTACATACCAAGACCCTGTTTAAAACAAAAATCCCATGGGCTGGGATGTAGCTCAGTGGTACAGTGCTTGCCTAGCATGCGTGAAGCCCTGGGTTCGATCCCAGCACCAAAAAGTAAATAAATAAATAAAACAAAAATCTGCTAGTAATTAATATTTTGGATGAGCCTGCAGACAACGTCCTGCTTTCCTTTAAGGCTCCATCCCTCATTTTAGCCCCCATGGGTGGGTCTCCAATTAGTACTGTAGCATTTCCCTTTTTGAGATGTTGCCCAGGTTGGCCTGGAACTCCTGGACTCAAGCGATTCTCCTGCCTCACTCTCCCAAGTTAGCGGGGTACTGGTGCTCGAAATGGTAGCGCTAATGTAATGATTACACAGCTAATGTTTTCTGTTTTCCTCAGTCCTCGTGGATTCACCAAGTGGACACCTTCAATGAGAACGACAGCTTCCCTCCATTTTTATCTATTCAATCGCGCATATCAATACGAGCTCATGGGTATTTATTTAAGTCCTTGGATTACAATGATCTTTTCAATTTCTTCTTTTTTTTGGCAGCACTGGGATTTGAACTCAGGGCCTCATGCTTGTTACACAGGTGCTCTATGACTTGAGCCACTCCAACAACCCTCAATTTCTTATCAATTTCCACTTCTTCCACAAAAAACCTCCAGAATTCTTCACTTTACAGTTAATGGTAAAAATCTAAATGGCTTACTTACCCATGAGCTCTGAAATCTCCACCTGTCTGCAGCTCTCTGCCTGTTTCCTTTGCTCGTTTATTTGTAAGATTTTTTCTTCTGGTGGTACTGGAATTTGAACTCAGGACTTCCCACTTGCAAAGCAGGTGCTCTACCACTTGAGTCCACTTTTGCTCTGGTCATTTTCGAGATAGGGCCTCATGAACTATTTGCCTAGGCTGGTCTTGAACCATAACCCTCTGACTCTCAGCCTCTCTAGTAGCTAGGATTGCAGGTGTGAGCCACTGGTACCAGGCTGGAGTTTTTTTTTGTGTGTGTGTGTGTGGTGCTGGGGATGGAACCCAAGGCTTGCATGTCTTCTAGCACTGAGCTACAGCACTGACTCCTTGCTCAGTTTTATTTTAACCCCTTGCTTATTCCTGCTCTGCCCATGCTACTGTTGTGAGTCCCATGACAACAATTCAGTCAACAATGGGCCACATAAAACCTGGGGTACCCTGAGATTATGTCAGCTCGTAATGAGGTAGAGCTTGTAATTTGTATAAGGATGGAATTACCTAATGAGGAATTTCTCAGAACATGTCTCTGTCATTCAATAACACCTGACTAGTTTAGTTAGATCTCATTCACACCACTTTCACCCCCCCACCACCAAAAAAAAAACCCTTTTGTATTTGCTCAAAGATTCCTTCACTGGACTCCTGTCCAATTACCATTCTTCCTTCTTGTCTCTTCCTAACTCTACCTGGAATTCAGTAACAGATATTTATTTTCTTTTCTTTTTTGGTGGTACTGGGGTTTGAACTCAGGGTCTCACACTTGCTAGGTGGGCACTGTAACACTTAAGCAATTCTGCCAGCCCTTTTGGTGTTGGGTTTTTTCAAGATAGGGTCTCACCAACTATTAACCAGGGCTGGCTTCGAACTGGAATACTTCTGATCTCAGCCTCCCAAGTAGCTAGGATTACAGGTGTGAGCTACCAGTGCCTGGCTTTATTTTCTTCTTTATCGTGGTCTTGTTCATTGTATTCCCAGCATTTAGCCCAGAGTTAGTCAATAAATATTTATAAAATAAATGCATGTGTGAGCTTGAAAACAGAGAGAGAGGGCTAGGAGAGTGGCCCAAGCGCTAGAGTGAGTGTCTCTCAGGTTCAAATCCCAGCACAGAGAGAGAGAGGAGGGAGAGAAGAGGCAGAAAGCGTTCCAATCGTTTCTTCTCCGATATAGTAGTAACTGCCATCTGTGTCCCAGGACTCCAGGAGAGCTACACTTTATGCCTGTATCATTTGTAAATGAAGTGTCTTTTTCCCAAGACGTGGCAAAGATGAACTGAGCTGATGCATACGAACATGTATACAAAGCAGACGATTCGCAGTATTTTATCACCATCTTCAGTATAATAAGCGTAACAGGGCGCTGCCACCATGGTTCTGTAAAATCAGAACCATGTCTCGCACATGGAAAGCGATACTGGATGATGCTATCGTTACCATCATCATCATCATCATCATCCCCTCAGTCCGCCCGGCTGAAAGAAGCTTTCATGGAATCCCGTTTTGGAGTTTGTCTTAATCATTGCCCCAGTTTAGCCGCCCAGGGATGCGCCCCTGACCTCCACCTCATCCGGACTGGATGCAGCGGTACATAGGATTCAGGGCCTTCTGGACCACAGGTTTCCATCGCCCCGCCCACGGGCCTGGACCGCCTGCGGTCTCCATGGAAACCCACCAGCCACAGGAGGGCGTGACGATTCCGAGACGGACAAGAAGTCTGCCTATCGAGCGAAAATTTTTTGGACGAGGTGAGAAAACGGGGACTCTGATTGGTTCATTCTTGAGGGAGGGCGGGAGTAAGGTGAGGTAATGAAGGCTGTTACCGTCGCTACCAATCAAGGTCCGAAACGCCTTTGATGGACAGGAGTAGCGGGAAGAGGCCCGGAATGTGGGCTTTCACCCAATCAGCGGGCGGCTGTTGGGAGAACGGGCCAATCAGTAGGCGGCGGGGGTGGGGCGAAGGGGCCGGTTGCTCCGGAAGTGGAGGGAGGGGGTGAAAATGGCGCCCAGCTCGAAATCGGAGCGGAACAGCGGGGCCGGGAGCGGCGGCGGCGGCCCCGGGGGAGCCGGGGGAAAGCGGGCATCGGGGCGGCGGCGGGAACACGTCCTCAAGCAGCTGGAGCGGGTCAAGGTGAGGCCTGGAGCCTGGGAGGAGCGCGCCGGAGAGTGGGAGGAGGGACGAGGGAGGCGGCGGAGGGAGGGTGTTCGCGGGGTGAGGGGTTGGGGGCGGGGCCCTGGGGGAGGGGGTTTGGGGGAGAGGGTTGGGCGGGGCCGCGGGGACTGGGGTCGGGTGGAGGGGGCCGATGGAGGAGGCTGGGGCCGGTCACCCACACCGGGGGCCGGGATGGAGGAAGCTGGTGGCGGGGCTCCGGGGAGGGGGCTAGGAGCGAGGGGACCCCGGAGGCCGCGGAGGAATCGGGAGGAAGGGGGCGATCCAGGTGTGCGCCCATTTTCCAAAATGCTGCTCCGCGCCTCCTTTGCAGAGCCCCTGCCACCGGCTTTGGGCTTCCTGCGCCTGGTATTCTGTTTGTCCCAGCTCCGACCACCCGGGAGCTGAGAGTTCCCGAACCTGGGTCGGCCTCTCCCATTGCATTGCAGGGAGGGAGCTTCCTGAGTAGGGCCGGGTGTCCCTCCTCGGAATGGAAGCTACTTGATCACGGGTGTCTTCCCCCATCTGACTGGGAGCTCGCGGAGGGCAGAGATGTGACCCTCCTGTCAGGTGGCCAGCATCTGGGGCAAGGCGGTGTTTCCATGGCCAGGGTCCTCTTGTGACCCCTCCATGAAGCTGGGGGCTTGGCCAGGGCAACTGGGCGCTCCCTGCGCGGGGCAGTCTCCGCCCCAGCCTGGGCGCTCCCTGGGCAGGGCTGTGGCTCCGCCCTTGGTCTGGGCGCTCCTTGGGCAGGGATTGTGTCTCTCTTGTCACTCTGGCCTGGCTGAAATGGCTGTTTCTTCCTGAGGACAGGGGGTTCTGTCATCAGATGGAAATCTCTTGAAGACAGGGCTGAGACTCCCCCATCACCTGAGGGTGCTTTGATCTCCCAGGGGATGGCTTGTGCCTGTCTGTCCCCTCAAATCCTTCCATGGTGGCACTTTTTGGGCTGCAGGAGTTGGGATGGATGGTGGCATTTGAGAAAGGGGAATCAGACAAGGATTGAGTCACTGGTTAGTTTTACCCTTCTCAGCGCCACAGCTGGATTCCAGCTGAGGCCAGGGCTGTCCCCTTGTAGCCTGGTGGGTTGAGGACAGGTGAGATAGAGGACTACCCATCCTTCAGGAATGGTGATTCAGGATACTGAGGGATGTGATGGCAAGAGGGACCCTGAGGCTTAGGAGATGAGCTGAGAGGTGGCATAAGTAGAGAGATAAAAGGTCCACTTGGCATCAGTGTCCCGTCTGCCCTGCTCGTTCCCACCTTGCAGAGCCTGGACTGTCCATGACCATTATGGTGGGCAGGGAGCAGCCAGGTGGGCCCCACGGGTGCTGCTCTGCCTTTCTGCCTGGATGAAGTCTGGGGGTGCAGGTGGCCCCTGCTGGGTGGTACCTGAAGCATTCTGGCATCCCTCTCCCAGATCAGCGGACAGCTCTCTCCTCGCCTCTTCCGGAAGCTGCCGCCCAGGGTCTGTGTGTCCTTGAAGAACATCGTGGATGAGGACTTTCTCTATGCGGGGTGAGACTGGGCTGGCCTGGGCTGGGCTAGCATGGTAGGGCAGAGGTGGTGGGCCTGCCCTGACCCGGCGCTGTGCTCCTGTACCCACAGACATATATTCCTGGGCTTTTCCAAGTGTGGCCGCTACGTCCTCTCCTACACCAGCAGCAGTGGTGATGATGACTTCTCCTTCTATATCTACCACCTCTACTGGTGGGAGTTCAACGTCCACAGCAAGCTCAAGCTGGTAAGGCCAGGCCGCCCCGCCCCCTGCCCCTGTACCTGAGTCCTTATGTGTCAGATGGCAGTAGACACTCCCACAGTGAACTGTAGCCAGCTGCCAGTTTTGTATTCAGAAGGGGGAAATGGTGGTGTTTTTAGCTGGTTTAACTTGGCATGTCGAGCCCGATGCCGTCCTGGGCTCGGAGCAGGTAGGCAGAGTTGCTTTAGTAGGGCCACGCAGGCCGCCATGCTGACATTAGCCTTGACCCTTGGCCAGCCAAAGCCCCGCTACCTGGCAGGGCTCTGTCGTGGGTCCCGTCCTGGGCCTGGGCCCCTCGTTTCCCTACTTGTGAGGGTGCTCAGTCCTGGTCCTGTTGCCGTCCAGGCTGTGGACTAGGGCTGTGTGACCCCAGCTGACCCGAGCGTGTTGCTCAGGTCCGGCAGGTGCGGCTCTTCCAAGATGAGGAGATCTACAGCGACCTGTACCTGACCGTGTGTGAGTGGCCCAGCGACGCCTCCAAGGTCATCGTCTTCGGCTTCAAGTGAGCCAGGGAGGGGTGGGGGGGGGGACTGGGCTGCAGCTGGCCCTGGGCGGCGGCTGAGCTGTGGCGCCCCGTGCCGCCCCCAGCACGCGCTCGGCCAACGGGATGCTCATGAGTATGCTGATGATGAGTGACGAGAACCACCGTGACATCTACATCAGCACTGTGGCCGTGCCACCACCGGGCCGCTGTGCCGCCTGCCGGGATGCCAGCCGGGCCCACCCGGGTGAGGGGCCAGTCCCGGGAGCGCGGCGGGGCCCTGCTGTCCCAGGCCGTGAGTGAGTGCGGCGTGTGTTGCTACAGGCGACCCGGGCGCGCAGTGCTGCGCCACGGCTTCATGCTGCACACCAAGTACCAGGTGGTCTACCCCTTCCCCACCTTCCAGCCTGCCTTCCAGCTCAAGAAGGACCAGGTGGTGCTCCTCAACACCAGCTACTCCTTGGTGGCCTGCGCCGTCTCCGTCCACTCAGCAGGTGGGTGACCTTGCAGCTGTGACAGCACAGTGCAGGCCAGGAGATAGGCTCAGAGAAGTGATGGCTCCTCTTTAAGGTTACACAGCCATGTCCCCACAGTGTGGAACTTCCCACAGGCCTGTGTCGTCCACTGTGGGCGCCTCCAGTGTGGCTCGTGCAAGCCAGAAGCTGAATTTTTTATTTTAATTTTAGTTATTTTAAGTTTAAATGGCTACATGTGGCTAACGACCCCCATGCTGGACACAATAGCACTATTGTCTCTACAAAAGAGAGATACTGGCTGGGCACGGGTGGCTCACGGCTATAATTTTGGGTATTCAGGAGGATCAAGGTTCAAGGCCAGCCTGGGGCAAAAAAAGTGAGACCATATTTGGAAAATACCCAACGCAAAAAAGAGCTGGAGGAGTGGCTCAAGTGGTAGAGTGCCTTACTAGCCCCTATGAGGTCCTGAGTTCAAACCCCAGTACCAACCCCCCCCCAAAATAAAAAAAAAAAGTCAAGATGCCAGGCTGGGCATGGCACACACCTGTAATTGTAGCTGCTTGGGAGGCAAAGGCGGGAAGATGGCTGTCCAAGGCTGACCTTGGGGTAAAAAATGCAAGACCTTATCTGCAAACTAAAGCCAAAGTGCAAGGCCCTGAGTTTAATCCCCAGTACTGCCAAGCAGAAAAGACACTAATGTAGTAGTCAGATGCTGCTTAATGACAAGGCCCAGCTCTGAGCAGTGTGTGCCATTAGGCAGGTTTGTCCTTAAGGGAGCGTTCTAGAATGTTCTTATGCAAACCATGATGGCATAAGCCTACAGCACTCTCGGGCTGTATGGTGTATGATACGCACCGTGAGTATGTGTTCCGTCATTGACCATAGTGTCTTTGTGGCCATCTCAGAAAGTGGTTAGTGACAGACACACAGCTGTCGTAGGTCAGAGAAATGCCAGGGAAAACTCAAGATGTTCTTTGATAGAGTGACACGTTAGGAGGTGGGGTCCCTGGCTGGCAGTGATAGGGTTGGGCCTGGGGCTAGGGGGGCCATGGAGGGCATCCTGCCTGCTGCTGTGCTCTGCCCGGGTCCCTCCCGCTGGGAGTGTCACTGGGTTTGTCAGGATGGCCAAGCCTGTGGAGGAGAGCTAGTAGCTGCCTAGTATCCTTTCCTGGGGATCAGGAGATAGGAGGTGGCCTGTATGTCCTGGGGAGCTCCAGAGAGCCCCACAGTGCATGTTCACAGAGCAAAACCAGGAAAACACTGATCTGCAGCCATGTACCACGTGACCACGTCATTAATGTGAGTTAACAGTGCAGGTCGATTCTGTAAGAACTCAAATAAAAATACGTCCATTAGCTGGGCGCCCATGGCTCACGCCTGTAATCCTAGTTACTCAGGAAACAGAGATCAGGAGGATCACGGTTCAAACCCAGCCAGGGCACATAGTTCTAGAGACCCTATCTCGAAAAATACCCATCACAATAAAGGATTGGCGGAGTGGCTCAAGTGGTAGAGCATCTGCCTAGCAAGCTTAAGACTCAGAGTTCAAACCCCAGTAGTGCCAAAACAAAACAAAAGTCCTTTAAATCTCCACTGAAATGGCAAAAGGGGAGGGAAAAGGCCAGATGAAATGTATACAGTTAAGCCCACAAATGAGTAAGGGCAGGGGGGCACCTAGACACATCCAGGAACCTCCTGTCCTGCCCTCGGTGCCTGTGTCACCTTGGGAAAAGTTCTGTCCCCTCCCAACCCAGCCATCACCTGGCTGTTGCCCATGAGCCCCTAGAGTGCTAGGACTGAGGATGAACCAGCCGGGATGCAGCTCTGTCCCAAGCCCGGGAGAGGGTGTGCTTGCTGACAGTGGCTCTCACCCTGGGGAGGGACTTCCACAGTGGTACTTGTTCCTTGGTGTTTTCAATTTTCCCCGGCCCCTCTGTGTTAGTGCCAGCACTGTGGACGGAAGCCTGGTCATGTGTGACCGTGGGGCTTGCTCAGGCACCTGTCTCGGTGCTGGGCCTCCGCACCGGCACAGACGTGGACAGAGGCCCCCGATATGCTCATCTGGCCAAGTTTCTACCTTCCACGGCTTTTATCTGTCCTCACTGGGGACTTAGCTCTCCAAGGACTGGGGCTTTGTGCGTTTGTGAGTCTTGCATCTCACCGGGTGGTTCACGGTAGTCAAGAGAGGTGTGAGTGAGCGCGCTTACGTGAGCGCTTGTGTGCACGTGTGTGTGCACTCATGCGCACACGCATCCTCCTTGCCAAGCTGCGCTCAGCTCAAGGAAGTCTAGGTGGCCTCCTTCAGGTCACTCAAGTGACTCCTCCCACCATCAATCACTTTTCTTGTTGCAGGTGACAGCAGCTTCTGCCAAATCCTGTATGACCACACAGCCTCGCCCTCAGCCCCACCCAGTCCCCCAGGGCCCCCCAGCCCAGAGGTGCCCTCCACCTTCCCCAGCCTCAGCCCTGAGGCGGCCCCAGCCCGGTGCTCCGGGACCCCCGAGCCTTCGCCCGCCATCGCCAAAGCCAAGGAGTTTGTGGCCGACATTTTCCGCAGGGCCAAGGAGGCCAAGGGGGGCACCTCAGAGGAGGCCCGGCTGCCCCCCGGCCCGGGGCCCTCAGGCAGCCGCTGCCGCCCACCCTCAGAGCCCCCAGCCCTGGGTGGGGAGGCGGTGCCCAGGGACAGTCCCCCTGCTGCTGAAGCACCTGCTCCTGAACCCGGCTATGTTAACTACACCAAGCTGTACTATGTGCTGGAGTCCGGCGAAGGGACGGAGCCCGAGGGTGGTGAGTGGGGCCCTGGAAGGCTGGGGCTGGGGCAGACAGGGTCCTCTGGCCTTTGTCACCCCTGCCACCCCAACCTGCCTCCCAGAGTTCGAGGATGACAAGATCTCCCTGCCTTTCGTGGTCACCGATCTCCGAGGGCGCAACCTGCGGCCCATGCGCGAGCGGACAGCGGTCCAGGTGGGTGTAGGGGAGGTCACGGGAAGTTGTGCTGGGGTAGGGGCAGTTGGTGCCATTACCCCGGCCCTTCCTCCCACCCTCCATTCCCAGGGCCAGTACCTGACGGTAGAGCAGCTCACACTGGACTTCGAGTATGTCATCAATGAGGTCATCCGCCATGATGCCACCTGGGGCCACCAGTTCTGCTCTTTCAGTGACTATGATATCGTCATTCTGGAGGTGGGTCTGGGGCAGGGTTGGGTGGGCCACCTGTCCTCACTTGGAGGTCACCATTAATACCTGTTCTGGTCTGCCCCAGGTCTGCCCAGAAACCAACCAGGTCCTCATCAACATTGGCCTGCTGCTCCTGGCCTTCCCCGCCCCCACGGAGGAGGGCCAGCTCCGGTGAGTGGCAGAGACCCTGGTCCCCATTTAGAGGAGTCCACATTCAGATCTCCTGTGGGGGAGGGGAGAAGACCAACGTGTGGCCAAAACCTTGTAGCCCTCTGCATCACCGCTCCAAAGAGAAACTCAGTGCAGGGCACACGGGTTCCATCCCTGCTCTCTTTGTCTGTCCTTCCCACCACTGCAGACCAAAGACCTATCACACCAGCCTCAAGGTGGCCTGGGACCTCAGCACCGGCATCTTCGAGACAGTCAGTGTGGGCGACCTCACCGAGGTCAAAGGGCAGACCAGGTGAGGTGGGGTGGGGGCAGGGTGGTGGAGGGGGCGGGGCCCTGGGAGCCGCTCACTGGCTGGCCCTGCAGCGGCAGTGTGTGGAGCTCCTATCGCAAGAGCTGCGTGGACATGGTCATGAAGTGGCTGGTGCCTGAGAGCAGTGGCCGCTATGTCAACAGGATGACCAACGAGGCGCTACACAAAGGTGGGACTCAGGGACTCGTGTCCTCACCCAGCCAGCGGTAGGGAATGACGCGCAGAGTCCCTTGCTCAACTCACGGGTTTACCGGGAGCCTGCTTCCGGAACCAGCCAGGCCCCGGGGCTGGCTCAGGGCTGTGTTCCCCTCCCCTGTAGGGTGCTCGCTGAAGGTCCTGGCCGACAGTGAGCGGTACACGTGGATTGTGCTGTGAGGGCCCGGCCGCCCTGGACCCTGACTCCAACTACCTCCACGGCCGGGAGCTGGCCGCCTTCCCGGCCGACCGGCACTAGTGTTAAGATGCGGGCAGGGGCTGGGCGGGCAGCCCCTGGTGGCCTCAGAGTCTGGACGCAGTTTTATTTATGCCTATTTAAGTTGGGGCGGGGTAGAGGGAGGAGCCCCCCCCAGCCTTGAGCGCCCACCTTCACCCCGTGCTGGGCACGCAGCTCTGTGCTTCTGCCCTCGGCGGCTGGCGGCTGGCGGCTGCAGGCTGCGGGTTAGACGTCACCCTCCGCCCAGCTCCTCCCGCCCCAGCCTCCCTCCCCGGGACGGGAAACGTGCGGCCACCCCCACTCGGTTCCTCTTCGTGTAATAAATGCTTATTTCTGAACCTGACCGAGGTCGTCCCCTTACTGCACTCGGGCCCAAGCAGCAGGCCCTGCAAGTCAGCCATAGACAAAGGTCACAGCGGAATTTATTGTGTTTTAAGAAAGACTACAAAAGGTAGAAAACAGCTCGGCACAACTAACCTACCACACGCGTGGACACTTCACCGCGGGCGGGGAGGCCCGTGGGCCCGGGGAGCGGGCAGGGCCACCCCAAAAAGCTGTAGCACGCGGAGCACACAAAATAGTGATTTTTATACAATAGGTCAGATTTCCTTTTTTTTTTCTTTTTGTTTTTTTGCCATAAACATCTATCTCACAGGTTGAAAACACTGAGAAAACGAACAGATAAGGCCATGATGGTTGGAAAAAAACCAACAAGTTACCGACTCCGCTCGGGCGCGGTCACGAATCGCACAAGTCATGGGGGGGGGGTGCACGGCACGGAGGAGAAGGTTCCTTACAAACCGGGGTGCGGGGCCTCGGTCTGTGGAGCACCCGCGCTGGCTGCTCCTCTTTGGAAGCTGGAGGCCCGGGCCCCTGCTACCCTCGCAGCCGCCCCTCTCGGGCCGCCGAGCGCCGCGGGGCCCAGCTCGGGAGAAGACGCGACACCCACAGCTTATAATTGCACTTATACCAAGAAGGGGGAAGCGGTGGGGCTGCTGCTGACAGTGGGGGTCCCCAGGTGCCGCCTGCCTGGGGCAGACAGGCTGTGCAAAGCCAGCGAGCAGAATAAGTTAACGGTCCCGCGGGGCGGGGCGGGGCGGGGGCGTGCCTGCTGCCCCCGGGGGCGGGCCGGGTCCTAAGGCACATCATTGTGTCGGGTTTGCAGCTGCGGCGCGGCTCAGCCCCGCCCCGCTAGGGGTGACAGCGAGGCCCCCGGAGCTGCGCGGGACCCCGGCGCGGAGGGGCGGGCGGGGGCGGGCCGCGGCCTTAGCTGGAAGGCAGCGCCTCCACGAAGAGGCCGCGCGCATCCGTCCGCGCCAGCTTGGCCGGCGGCTCCAGCGCCTCGGGACCCAGCGCGGGCGACTCTCCGCCGGCCGTCAGCGAGATGTCCTGCGGCAGCTCGTCCTCGCTCTCCTCCTCCTCTTCCTCCTCGTCGTCTGGGGACACGGACCAGGCCTGGCTGAGCGCGGGGCGCGTCCCCACCCCCGCCCCTCCAGGGCCCCGGTGGGACAGGTCACGCCTTGCCTACCTTTGTCCGGGTCAAGCGAATTCAGCGAGGTGGCCAGGTTGGCGAACTGGAGGGAGGGGAAGAGGGAAAGCGTGAGGGTCCCGCCGCCCGATCCCCGGCCCGCGCCCTCTGCGCCTCCCCGTGCGCACCTCGCCCATGACCGCGATGGGGGTCTCGCCCTTGGCCTGCGCCACGCGGTGCTCGATCAGGTAGTACATGTACTCGTCGTACAACAGCCGGATGAGGTGGAACGAGCCGAAGCTGGCGGCGCTGCGCAGGGTCAGGTCCCGGATCACCATGGAGCTGAGGGCGGCGTGGCGACACCATCAGCCCCCGTCCAGCCCTCGCTCGGCTTCCCCAAACCATCAGCTCGCTTAAAAAAGCACCTGAGCCTCCTCCCGGGGGCGGGGCCTCGTCTGGCCACACCCATCCAGGGGAGGCGTGGTTTCGGGCCCCACCCCACCGCGCAGCCCCTGTCCCCGGGCGCGCACCTGTAGAAGGACCACTTCAGGAGGAAGAGCTTGGCGGCCTTGGGGAAACCGGAGCTGCCCTGGTAGGGCTTGAGCACCTGGCTCACGACGCCATCCAGCCAGGCCGCCCACTGCTCCAGCGAGTTCTGCTGCTGCAGCGTCACCTTGAAGTCCTGCTCCAGACGCTGCACCACGCGGTCCTCGCAGCGGCACACCCACGAGGCCTGCTCCTGCGGCGGCGGGCGGCAGCTCCGGCTCAGCGGTCCGCCCCGCCCCCTCCCGGCCCCGCCCCGCCCCGCCCCGTGCTCACCTGCACGTTGGCGAAGTCCACGCGGTTGAGGTCACTCAGCATCTGGTTGATCTGCGCCGTGTTCTGCAGCACGGCGCGCGCCGCCTGCGCCAGGTGGTTGAGCGAAGTGTAGCGACGCAGCGTCTGCGCGAAGGCGCCGGCCGCCGCCACCTGCGTGCGTGCGGGCGGGGACGGTTGGGGCTGCCGCCGAACCCCGCCTCCCGCCCTGGCCTCACCTGCTGCCACTGCTCTCAGCCTCAGTTTCCCTTTCTTATAAAGGGAAGGCTGTGCTTTGCTGCCTTTGTTGGGAGATCGAAGGATTGGGTGAGATGTGGGTGAGAAAAACTAACTGCGTGTTCTGATCGGCAGCATTAATTTTTTTTGTGTAGTGCTGGAATTTGAATTCACCCACACTCATGTTAAAAAGCAAGGACTCTACCACTGAGCCACACACCGGGCCCACTGTCACTGTTTTTGAGGGTTTTTTTGGTAGGTTGCTTTTGTTTATTGAGACAGGGTCTTGCCATGCAGCTTAGGCTGGCCTTGAACTTGCAATTCTCCTGCCTCAGCCTCCAGAGTGTTGGAATAGCAGCTACCACCATGCCTAGCCTCACTAATAATTATTTGTAATGAAAGAACAGACTAGCGCACCGCGCAAAAGGGTGACCATTTCTTTGATAAACTTTGATCTTGTTTCAGTAACTGTGCCCTTCTGCCCGCCCCCCCCCGCTCGTGCTCCCCATGATCGCCCCTGAATCCAAGAGCACTTGCCCAGGAAGCATCAGGCCTTGAGTTCTGACCCCAGCACTACACACACACACACCAAAGAAGCAGACACCCCAGTTTTGTTAGCTCCTTTTTTTGCTTGCTGGATAGAGAACGTGCAGTAGGGAGAAAAGGCTACTCTGTTTCCTTACAGCTGCCTTTGTGAAAAAGCTGTCTATCTCTCAACACCAAAGCACTTTCTAGCTTTGGTGAAAGAAATAGTGAAAATCTGTATTTGCTTTTTATTTTAAGATTCTGTCTGAAGCCCCTGCATCCCCCCAGGGCACAGAGGGAGCCCATGCAGGGGAAGTGGGGACAGGGGCGGGGAGCCCCACCCTCACCTTCACCCGCAGCATCTCCTCGGGGATGTTCACCATGGCGTGTGTGAGCCAGCTCTCCAGGCTCTTAGCAAAGTTCCGGATCGCTTGGGTCAAGGCACCTGTGGGTGGCGATGGTGGGCGCTGGTCACAGGCGGGCAGTGCATTTGGGGGTGCGGGCTGTGGGGTGAACACTCACTCGGGATGGGCCGCAGCACGTCGGGGATAAGGATGTCCACCAGGCCCTGGTACAGCACGTTGTCACAGTGCTTGGTCCACTGCAGCACGGGCTCAAACTTGGACAGGAGCACCAGGCTGGCCTTGGGCAGCCGCTTCTCAGCCTCGTCGTGTCTGGGGACACCCACCCCACCCTGGGGTCACATGCCATGTCCTGGTCCCATACCCAGGGCCAGAAGGGTACTGGCACACCTCCCCACTGCCACCCTGGGCTCATACAGGTGCCCCGTGCCTCCTGCGGCTCCCCAGGGTCCACGCTGGGGCCTGCCCTGAAGCCAGGGCTCCCATGCTGTGTCAGATGGACACATGCCTGCTTGGGGGTGGAGGGCATGCACACCCCACAGGCTGCAGGGGTCACCCCCCCGCCCCCGCCCCAGGACTCACACGGCCAGCGGTGGCGCCTCACTGGGCTGGCTGAGGTTGTATCTCCAGAAGGTTTTCCACAGCGTCTCCACTAGCGTGAACTGCAGGTTCACCATGACGTCCACAATGGCCTGTCAGGAAGGAAGGACGCTTAGCAGAGGGCAGTGTGGACCTCCCTCACCAGTGGCTGAGCCACCTGCCCGCCCACCTGCCCACCCGCCTGCCCGCCCTACCTCACAGTGTTCCCGGTACAGGACCTGGAAGGCTTTGATGTCCCCTGGGCCGACACCCTCAGGCAGCACTTTACCCTGGAGATCCAGCTCCGTGAAGTCAGGGAGGCTCCGGGACGCATCTGGGGACAGGGACACCATGAGGCCCTGACCCTGGCTGGTCTGCTCACCCCAGGGGTCTTACTCAGTCAACATGATTTTCCCAGCCAGCAGAGGACCCCAGGTATGGGAGAGTGACAAGGCTCAAGGAAGGTGAGCACCTGGCCTGGGCTCCCAGGACAGGGACACCCAAGAGCCTGCGGATAGCACAGAGAACTCAGGGGCTTATGCTGCTCAGCTTGCTGCTAGGTGGTGGCCCTGAGCTGGCCACTGGGACAGGAGACTCGAGTCCAGGCTACCTATCTGTACCTGGTGACCAGGGAGCAGGTCCAGTCAGTGCAACAGGGATGTTGCTCAGAGCCTGATGGCCTGAGGTCCAGGCTAGCTAGGCAGAAACACCCAGACACCCCTTGATTCTACAAGGAGCATGGCTTCCTAGGCCTCCTCAGGGTAACCGAATGAAGGCCTCAGGCACAGACGGGCACGTGGTCAGAGCTGTGGATGTGGGCTGACATGGGAAATGTCCTCAGGGTTTGCTAGTTAGCGTCATGGGACCTTAGTTTCTTTTTTTGTTACCGTTTCTCCTAGGAACACTGGGCATACACACCTGCCCTCTCCATGAACCCTCCCTCTGTGGACACATGGCGGCCGCAGGACAGCCAGATTGGCTATTTTAAGGTTTAAGATGGACCATGCATGCAGTCATTCTGTCTGGAGTCCACCAGAGGAATACTCTGTACTGATGGAACAGGGGCATCTCGGATGAGGTTTCTAGAGGCAAAACTACCCTGCAGAGGCAGGGAAGGCATGACCATCCGCACGCATGGGCATCAATGTCTGGGCCTTTCCATGTCTCCCACCTATCAGCCAGGGGCTTTAGGAAGACAGGGCCGGGCCTGGGGCAGGGCTCACCCAGGAACTGCTGGTACTGCTGCACCTGGGCGCTGATGTCTGATAGCCCCGTGTTCTGCTGCTGCCCCACGGCCACGCCGTTTGTCATGCCCTCTATCTTCTGGATGGGCTTCATCCTGGGGAAGAATGTGCAGGAGAGCCGGCTGGGTGGGTAGGTGGGGGGACTGGGAGGGGACCTTGGCCTAAGCCACCCCGTCCCTACCTCTGCTTCTGAGAGAAGGGCTGGCCGCGCATGGCCATGTGTTGCTGGTCCTCCATCAGTCGCAGCAGGGGTGAGCTGGCCTTGATCCGCAGGCCATAGTAGTGGTACTTGGAGTTCCCCCTGAAGGAAGACGGAGGGTTAAGGGGAGCCTCCCTCCACCCCCCTCCTCCCTGTTATGGGTCTTCATGGAGAAGCCAGTTCTGCTGTGCAAGGAGGGGCCGGGGAGGCCCAGGGTTGGGGTGCCAGGAGAGGCTCCCGCCCCACAGACAAGCCCTGAGAGGTGAGGACGGTGTCTGGCTCGCTGCTCACCCCCGACTCTGGCAAGGGGCAGGCGTCTGGCAAATATATTAGCTGCTGCTCACGACAACATGCCGCACGCTATTGGCCCGGGGCCCACCCTACCCATCCCCACCCTGTGAAGGGTGCTACTGACAGCCGGCAGGGATGGGTGAGGAAATGGAGGCCAGTTTGCTCAAGGTAGGAGTGAATGGATGCACGGATGCAGGAATGAATGGACGCAGTGACCCTAAGCACAGGGCGGTATAGGGTCAGAAGAGGGTGCATCACAGGGTGACTTAAGCACCAATTGTGTGCAGCCCCTTATCAAGCTATGTGCACCTCAGACAGGTGGGAAGGAAGGGAAGGAAGTTACTTAAGAGGCCCGTGGAGGGGTCCTACATGTTAAGGGGAAAAACTAAGCAGGGAGGAGGATGAGAGGATGGGAGGAACGGGGGAGGTAAGGCTGCAATTTCAGTTAAGGAGGTACGTCAAGTACATGAAGCAGAAGACACGCCTGTGCAAAGGCCCTGGGGAAGGTGCATGCAGGCATATCAAAGGCGCCCTGGGAACAGCAGGGCTGTCAGGGAGTGAGAAAGGGAAGAGGTGGGGAGCTGGGACATCTCAGAGCCCAGGTGCGACGGGGGCATGTGTGTGGCCCCACCTGGTGCCGAGACGGCGCGTGCGCAGACCCATGAAGACTGAGCGGATGAGCTTGCCAAAGGAGGCGGCATTGACGGGCTCCAGCTTCTGCTCCTGGCAGTGCAGCAGGTAGTGGCAGTAAAGGGTGCTCCGGGGCAGGCTCACGCCCTCTGCCGTCTCATAGTTGTCCAGGAGCCACTGCACCTGGGGCAGAGGACGATGGGGGGAACCGCTGAGAACCAAGGCTGCCCCCCAGCACTCTGCAGCTACTCCACCATGCGATCCTGACCCCCACAATATGTAACAGTCCTCCCCAAACCACAGCCCTCAGAACTCGCTGCAACAGCACTGGCCTTGCAGCTACAGAAATGCAAATCTGTTCATTTACACTGAGTGAGAAAAAACTAATCTTCCAAGGTCACGTGATAGGGTGTCATTCTGAAAATGAGACAAGCTGGAATTTTCCCCCCAGCACTGGGGATGGAACCCACAGCACCTGGCATGCACGATGGGCAAGCCACACACATCCCTAGCCTCAGTTCTGTATTTTGATTGTGGCAGTCGTCTCCCCAAAACTACACATGCAGCCAGGCGTGGGTGGCCGGCATCTGTGATTCCAACACTTGGGAGACTGAGGCAGGAGGGATCGCCAGCAGAGGACAGTCTGGGCTACATAGCAAGACCTGGTCTCAAAAACATGCCTGTAATCCCAGCTACTCAGGATGTGCAGGGCAGGAGAATTGAGGCTCAAAGCCAGTTTGGGCAAAAAGTTAGCAACACCCCACCTCAACCAATAAAGGTGAGTATGGTGGCTGTCATCGAAGGTATGGGGAGGCTTAGATAGAATCAGGGTCCAGGCCAGCCTGGGCAAAAAATCTGAGTAACTTCCAAAAAGAACTAAAGCAAAAAAGGGCTGAGGGTGTGGCTCAAGTGCTGGGGAAAGGTTCAGTGCTCGCCCAGCGGACTTGAAATCCCACTACCCCTAAAAAGAAAGAAAGAAAGAGACAGAGACAGAGAAAGAACTTTCTCAGTAACCCCAGCCACATTCCAAGGGCTCAATGGCCCCATCGGCCAGAGGCTTCTGTGTGGGAAACCTAGAAAGTGAATGTCCCCCTCATAAAATGTCCTTCATTCTACCTGGCACGTGTCTGAATCGCAGGTGAGTCCCCACCAGGGGTAGGTGGGCTGTAGCCAGTATTTTAAAAATAGACTTAAACAGGTCAGGTGCAGTGTGGAAGGCCCATAACCTCAGCTACTCAGGAGGCAGAGGTAGGAAGATCACAACCAGAGGCCAGGCCAGGGCAAAAGTGTGACCCCCCATGTGAAAAACGAACTAAAAGCAGAAAGATGGGGCTCGAGTGGTAAGCAAGTCTGCATCCTTGAATTCAATCCCAAGTAGAGGGGAGGGGGTGACAACCCAGAAGCCAGACTACATCCATAGCTAGGGGAGGCCATGTGGAAATACGATATCCTGACCCACAGCACTGTCACACAGTCGTGCATGGGTTGGTTGGTGCGGAAATCGAGGACTACTGCAGTTATTGCACCAGGTGCCTGCCTCTCTGTACCCCCACTGTCCCCGCTAGCACCTGTTAGTGGAGAGGGGCCTTTGGCCACTGTCCCATGAGCCTCACACGTCACCGAGGAACTTGTCTTGAGATGCACAGCAAGGATGCGGGATCCACTCCCGCCCCACCCGCCCGGCACCTTCAGAACCAGTTACACGGGCTCCTGCTGAGCGGGACCCAGCTCCTAGGGACCCCGCCACCCGCTGTGCGGGGCGCGTACCGTGGCTGGCGAGGCACGGGTGGTGTGGGAGTAGGACTGGCTGGCACTGCCCAGCATGTAGCCGCCTTGGATCACGTAGGTGCCAGCGCCACCGCTGCCACCACTGCCGCCGCCACTGCCGCCCCCGCCGCCGCCGCCTCCGCCGCCGCTGCTGTTGCCGGCCCCGCCCCCGCCGGTGGTGGAGCTGGCGACCACGGGGCTGCCGGACACGTACATGGGCACCGAGCCGCTGCTGGCCACGGTCTGGGAGGGGGCGGGCGAGCTGACCTGGGCGGCCGTGCCCGCGGCCTCATAGTAGCTGGTGCCCGCCGTCTGCGTGTACAGTGGCGTCTCGGGGTAGGGGTAGGAGCTGGAGCGGCTGGGGGAGAAGAGAGGTGGGGGGTGAGGGCCCGGGGGTCCAGGGGAGGGGAGAGGAGGGACACCCCCCAGTGCTGCCCACATTCACCTGCCAGGGACTGGGCACCCTTCCCAAGAGCCCGAGGCGTCATTTTCACTGACTTGTCAATGCAGCCCTGTGGTATGGGGTCACACCCTCCCCACACTTCAGAAGTGAGGAAACTGAGGTAGCTGGGCTGGGTAACGTGCAATAGACCACACTTCCATCCATCCAAAAAAATTAAAAAATTTGACAGCTGCAAGCGTGGTTTAAGTGGTGGTGTGCCTGCCTAGCATGCATGAGACCGAGGGTTCAATCCCCAGTACACAAAGGAAAAAAAAAAAAAAAAAAAAGATAACCCCGAGTTATTGATCCCTAGCACCATATTAAAAAAGTTAGCTTGGGCACGATGGCTCACTCCTGTAATCCCAACCACTCCGTAAGCAGGGATAGGAAAGATCTATACTCAAGGCCAGCCTGGGCAAAATGTCAGCAAGACCCCATGTCAAACAATACGCCAGTCTTGGTAGTGCACATCTGTAATCCCAGCTACGCTGGAGCCATAAACAGAAGGATGACCAGGCCCCCTGGGGCAAAAACACGAGACCTTACCTGAAAAATAAACGAAGCAAAAAGGGCTGGGATGTGGCTCAAGTGGCAGAGCGCCTAACCAGCAAGTGCGAGGTCCTGAGTTCAAACTCAGTAGTAAAAAACTAATAATAAATTTTAAGTATGCAGAGGTGTAGGTCAGTGGTAGAGCACTAGCCTTGTAGGTAGGAAGGCCTGGGTCCCATCTCCATCACCGTAAAAAACCAAAAAATCACTGAGCACCTACTGTGCTGAGCCCTGTTCCAGGCGCTGCACACAACAGCAGAGCAGACAGAAAAGCCCCACTAACATTTTACCGGGAAACCATGAACGGAACCTGAAGACTGCGCATGCTCAGAAAGTGAAAAGCGAGAAGGGGGCGGTGCCAGGGAAAGGCGGGAATCTGATTGGAGACTGTGGAGGCGCAGGGGCGTTCCCTGTGCCCAGCTATCTCTGGCTGGCTGAGAGTTCTCCTGTAGTCCCCAACGTGCACGTGCACGCAGCTGCAAATCCGCCGCGTGCAAATCCCAGCCAGAGTCAAACATCCTGGGCTCATCTTTAGAGAGGGCTGTTAACCAAGGGGAGATGGGATACTGGGCAGGGGTGAGAGTCCTCCCCAGAGATGAAGCTCCAAGTGCAGGGACGGCCCACAGGAGGCCATGATGTGGGTGTTGGGAAGAGAGGGAAGGCTGTACAGGTGGAGGGCGTGGAGGGCGGACAGGCAGGGACACTTATTATCCTGGTAGACATTGCTGGACACAGTTTTGACCTTTGAGCCCTCTCAATGTATTAGTAACTAAAAACACTTAAGTTCAAAAATCAAGCTGGGTTTGGTGATGCATGCCTGTCATGTCAGCAACTAGAAAGGCGAAAAGCAAGAGGATCATGAGTTCCAGGCCAGCCTGGCCTACATAGGAGACCCTTGTATCAAAACAAACAAACAATATGCTAGGCACTGGTGGCTCACATCTGTAATCCTAGCTACTCAGGAGGCAGAGATCAGGAGGATCATGGTTCAAAGTCAGCCTGGACAAATAGTCCAAAAGACCCTGTCTCGAAAAAACCCATCATAAAAAAGGGCTGGTTGAGTGGCTCAAGGTGTAGGCCCTGAGTTCAAAATCTAGCATGATAAAAAAAAAAAGCCAGTCACAGTGGCTCACACCTGTAATCGCAGTTACTCAGAGGGGAGATCTGGGTTCCAAGCCCTCAGGGCAAAAAGCTCACAAGACCTCTTCTCAACCAATAAGCCAGGAGTGGTGGTGCACACCTGTCATCTCAGCTGTGCAGGATAGGAGGACGGAGGTCCAGACTGATCAGGGCATAAACTCAAGCCCCTACTCGAAAAGTAACTCAAGCAGGAAGGGCTGGGGGCATGGCTCAAGTGGTAGAGGCCTGTCTAGCAAGTGCAAGGCCCAGTACAGCCAAAAATCATTATCATAATCATAATAATTGCAATAAAAAAAAACCAAACACCCAGGGCTAGCTCACATAGTATCACTATAAAAACAAACAAACAAACAAACAAAAAGGTTGTTCCAGAGGATATATGCTAAGTGAATGCACAAATGTGTCCCTGGACAAAGCCAGGGAGGAAGCCAGGAGCTGGTACTTTGGCCAGGGAGAGGTCCAGGACAGCAAAGGGCTGGGAAGCAGGTAGCAATCTGTCAGGGGAGAGTGAAGACACTGCCACGGCAAGGTTGGCCCCCGAGAACTTCCGGGAAGAGATGAACTCCAGTCAGGCAGGGAGGGATTCAGGCAGGCGCTAAAGACAAGGCACTAGGAAGGCAAGGAGCCAGCCCAGGCTAGGGCTCCATCCCCTGTGGCCTTGTGGGGCAACCTCCTCTCTGGAATGGCCTCTCGGCCCCTGCTAGCTGTGGCCAATTGCCCAGAGAAAAAACTAACAGCGGTGGGAATAAACTGATGGTAATTCAGGTGCTAGCAACTCTCTGTGAGCCACTGTGCCCACAAGGGTAAGTAGCAGTATAGAAAGAAAAAAATCAGATGAAGACGAGCAGATGGAAATTCTAGAAACTGAAACAATAACTGTAATCCTGGAATTATTACTTGGAGGACAGGGGACGGGAGGATGGTGTGGGGAGGACTTGCGGTGGAGAGCCAGAGCCTGGGCTGAAACAGGCATGAGCCCTGGCATGACCTGCCACATGGGGACACCAGTGCTGGTCCTTGAGCAGTACCCAGGAAGGGACAGTATCCTGGTGGCTCTGCACAATGCTTACAAAGGATGACAGGGACCCATGTGGGCCAGTAAGGGAAGTGCTAACAGATACATGGCTTGGCAAAGAAACACAGGGCACAGTGCACGGCTTCTGTTTCTGAACAGGAAAGGGGAAAGTTTCTATACTCAGAGTTCCTCTGGGAGGAAATAAACAGGTCACAGTGTCCCCTCTGGGGCAAGGATAGGGGTCAGAACTGAAAGAATTGTTTAACATTATTATGTAAGGTGGTACATGGTAGTACACACCTGCAATCCCAGCTACTTGGGAGGGGGAGGGAGAAGGATTTCAAGCTCAAGGACAGCCCAGGCAAAATCAGCACGATCCTATGTCAAAAATATAATAAAAAATATAAGGGGTTGGGGGTGTGCCTCAAGTGGTAGAGGGCTTGTCCAACAAACCAGAGGCCCTGAGTTCAATTCCCAGTACCGCCGAAAAATAAAACCAAAACCATTCCCTATTGGGTAGAAACTTTTATCTTATATAAATATATACTTTTCTACATACATGTGTATATATATGCATATATATGATTTTTTTTCACATATAAAACCATGAGACCAGGTCCACCTGACTCCTAAGCCCTAAGCTATGGGACGGTGTCTTTCCCAACAGGCAAGGGTCCCCTCTGCTTTGCCCATTCCTGGTGGCTACTGACTTCGCCGGGGAAGGTCCATCTGGGCCTTGAAGGCCAGCGGCCTGCTGGGGGCTGCACCTGGGGCCCGGTGTCCTGCGCCCCGCCCCCCCTGCCCACTCACATGGCGCTGGCCGCGTAGCTGGCGTCGCCGCCTTCCACATATTGCACCTGGCTGGAGTACACGTGTGGGACGGGCACCTGCTGGAGCTGCTGCACCTGGGGCGGGAGGAAGGGCAGGCGGAGGGTCGGGGCGAGCCGGCTCCCTCGATTCTGCTTTAAAGGGCTGGCCGCCACCACAGCTCTCCCGGCCCAGAACACCACACCCTGGGCGGGACCAGGGGCAGGCTGTGCGGCCCCGGCTGAGGCCGGGGGAGTGAGAAGAGCCGCATCAGGAGCCGCCGAGGTGGGGGTTCTAGGCAGCAGAGAGACCCCGGCCAGGGTATCACAGTGGGCCTGAAGGGTGGCCCCTGGAGGCTGAGCCTAGCATAGGAACAAGGTGTGGCTACAGCCAGGGTCTGGAACCACAGACAGGGCCTCAAGGCCTGGCCTGGAGGCCCGCACAGGATTCTAGGGGCGGAGCCTGGGGCCCAGTTCGTGGGAAGAACCTGGAAGGACTGACAGCGCCTGGGGGGCGGGCTCTGAACACCCCACCTCCACGCCGCCCCCCTCTAGTCTGCAGGGGTGGGCTGGGATCTGCTAGGGGGAACCGGAGCCGGCCCCTAGACCACCCGCAGGGCAGAGGCCGGGTCTACCGGGCTTGCGGGGCCTGGTGGGCAGCCGGGCGGGCGTCCCCGCCCCCGCCCGCCGTCGCCCCCCGCCCCTGCGTCGCCACCTACTTTGAGGGCCGTGGCGGCGGTGCCGAACACTAGCACCTGGGGGATTCTCTGGATCCTGACCCTCTGGTCGGGGCTGGCTCGGGCCGAGAGCCCGGGTAGTGGCTCGAGGACCACTTTCTGCTGCGGCAGGAGCAGGTGCGGGGGCAGCACGCCCACCAGCTCCACCCACTGCTCCACCGGCTCGTATTGGGGCGGCGGAGGCTCGGGGCTGCCTAGCCGCGGGGCCTCGCCGCAGCACGAGGGCTGGAGCCCAGGCCCGGGCGTGGGCGGCCGGGGCGGCGGCTCCGGCGGCGGCGTGGGCCGGGGTTCTCGCTGCTCTGCCTTCCTAGCGGGAAACTGACTGCCTGAGCTCTGGAGGACAAACAGAGACACTGGGGGGTCACCGGGGGCGACCGCGGGCGGGGGTCCAGGCCTGGCCGCCCGCCGGGCTGCTGCGTATGTGAAGATCCCCGCCCGGGGTCCCAGGGAGGGAGGGCAGGAACTGACCCAGGCCACGCCAGAAAGAAGCGGGATTCGAACCCAGATGCCTCTTAGCAAAACCTGGGCCTTGATCAGCCAGGTGTCAGAAGGGGAACGATCCAGGACCGCGTGTGCAGCCCATAGTCACACCCAAAGCCTAGCCCTGAAGGCTCCAGGCGCCCCAGCTCCTGAGTGGCTCCACTCCCTCCCTCGGGCAGGGCACTGCTTTCTCCATTCCCAGCCCAGGATGAGCCCCAGATTGTCGCGGAGAAGCTGTGCGGGAGAAACCCACCTCTTGAGTCACATGGACCGGCTGAAGCCCCTGCACAGTCAGCTGCTGCACGGGGCCGGCTTTGGGCGCCTGTGGGGTGGCCTGGACCACGGACCTCTGGGAAAGGAGAGGAGAAGAGAGGGAAGTCCGACTGTGGTAACCAGGGAATGACGGCAGCCACTAAATCCCGGGAAGCACCCAGCCCTGCACGCATGCCCTCTAAGCAGAAAAGCTGTCATTCCCCAGCCAGACAGCCGTTTTCCACTGCGAGACAGGCACCAAAGGCCTTCCAGGTTCAAACCCATTTACAGGCACAAAACACCCCTCTCCACAGGCTCCCCAGAGTGCAGAGAAGTAGGTGATGCCATGGGCTGTCTTTGATGCCCCTGCGCCCAGTGAGGACTGTCCTCACTGTGATGTTAAGGTAGATGCTGGTATCCTGAGGGCACAGCCGCTAAAGGTGGGGGCTGTGCCCAGTGGTGGTACAGGGGCAGGAACCCAGGTCTGGAGGTTCAGAGGGGCCTGGAGCTGGGCAGGGAAATATGTCCCAGTCCTTTGGGGATCTGCTTTTGCGAGTCTGGGCAGAGTGCATGGCATTGGTTTTGTTGGGTGTTTAGTTTTGCAGATGGCGTCTTGTTGTGTGTTGCTCAGGCTGGCCTTCAGCTTCTGGGTTCAAGCAACCCCACCTCAGCCTTCAGAGTAACTGCACCACTACAGGCATGCACCATCACACCCACCCTCATCTGTTTGGGGTTTTTTTTGGTGGGACTGGGGTTTGAATGAAGGTCTTTGCAATGCTCTGGTTAAAAGAAGATGGGGTCTCAGGAATGGGCTGGCGTCAACTCAAGGTCCTCCCGATCTCGGCCTCCCAAGTTGTTGGGATTACAGACATAAGCCACCAGCGCCCAGCTCTCATTTGATTTTTTTGAGGGGCATGGGATCTCCCAACTTGAGCATAACAGACAGGTAGGTGGCAGACAGCAGTTGTTGCCTTTTAACCTGCCGTGGCTGGCAGCATCAGAGCTTGGCCTCCCCTAAAGGCTGGACATGAATTTGGAGGCTAGGCTTCTCCCTCAGACCTGAGGTTGGAGCAGGGACTTGGCCCCAGGTTTCCCCAACAAGGGTTCTGAGAGCTGTTCGCAGGGCCTGCTCCTGAGGGAGGCATGTAGCTGTCCTCACAGCACCTCCCACCCCATGACCCTGAACTCGAGAGTGGAGGTGCACACCAAACATTCCCACAGGCCACGGACACAGCCAGGGGTGGCTGCAGAGGCCGACTGCCTGGGACCCCCCTCCCCTGCTGCTGCCCACTTTGGCCAGGCACCTCTTGGGTGACGGGGACACTCTGCTGAACGCTGTGGACCTGCAGCTGCTGTGGCACGGTGCCTGCAGGGGCCCCGGCCGTCTTGCTGGTGGAGCTGTTGGCCTGCACGGGTGACCGCTGGAAGAGAAGGAGATGGGACCAGGTCAGGGCTAGTCCGGTTGTCTCTGGGGCAGCTTGGGCCCTCAATACCCTTCTCAGTGGGGCTCTTTGGAGAGGAAGGCAGTCAGTGGGGATACAGCTCAACCACCTGGCAAGGGGCTGCACTCAGAAACCCAGATGCCTGCCTACCTCCTGCACCAGCCTCATCACCCCCAGCAAGGGTTCTCCCAAGGCCATGGCTCAGGCCCCCTGCCATCTCCATCATCAGAGGCACCCTGCCCTGACATGAGGCAGGGTGGGCTGGGGAAGCCTGGGCTGGGCCATAGGTGCCTCTGAGGAGTTCTTGGGGCCAAGTTTCAAAGGTTCTGGTAATGACAGCAGTGGTAGCTAACTTAGCACTGTGCTGGCTCCAGCCAGGCCATGCACTACTTTGAGTGCAGCGGGGAGGGGACCTGCCTGGGGTTACAGGTGGGCTGGCTACAGCATCCCATGCTTGCTCTGGGACCATGCTGCACCCACCCGATGAGCCTGAGTTGTAATTCTCACAGAGGGCGGATGAGTCGTGGAAGTCATTCGCTCTTCTACACACAAGGAACTCTGGACTCGAGGCTGAAGGCCTGTGCAGAGGCTGAGCCAGAGTCTGAACACAGGCGCACAGTAGTCAGCGGCTGAGCCTGAGCATCTTACCGGAGTTTCTCATGCTGACACCTCTGCTCTGACCAACCTTCAGCTTGCCTGTCTCCGATTCCCTGGTATTGGTATTTCTGGGTTCCCAAGGACCCCCGTGTGATCCAAGGCCACATAGGAAGGGACACTATCCACACTGCAGATGGCAGAGGAGGCCGTTTTATCTCCTGAAGCCTGTTCTGCTCCAAGCAGGAATGAAGTGGTGACTGCCACACCCAGAGTCAATGAAGGAGTGGGAAGACAGGACCCTGCAGGAGCCAGTGAGCTCAGGGAAGGGGAGCCCCTAGTGTGCTGTGGGAGTACCTGGCTGAGCCAGGGAGAGGAAGGAAGGGCATCTGATGGGGCCACCACCTACCTCGGGGGGCGAGTGCACCTGCTGGGTACCATGCACGGTCAGCGAGACCTGGCTGCCCTTGCTGCCCGGCGCTGTGCTCTGCACAACCAGACGCTGCGTGGGGAGAGCCTGGAGCAAGGAAGGGAAAGGGGCACTGATCACAAGACAGCCTGGTGGGGTGGTTTCTTTTTCCATGCTGGGGGATGGATCCCGGGGCCTCATCCCTGCTAGGCACATGCTCTAGCACTAAGCCCCTGGTCAGTTTCACTGAGCACCTTGGCAGTGCCAGGCAGTGTCCTAAGTGCATCTTTCCTGTCAGCCCTGATGCAGCAGGGCATACCACTGAGGGTCCAGATGGCAAAAGTGCTTTTCCAAGGTTCTAGAGCCAGGACATTGCAGGGCAGGAGTTTGTGGCTCCACAGGCCACATGGAGTGTGTCCTCATGTTAAAATCTGACAGTACTGAGCTGGTGGATGGGGGTGGGGGCGGGAATGGATGCTGAGCACGCATTAGGCTCTTAGTTCCACACCTAGCACCACGAGCAAAACCCTGATGGTTCTCTGTCCAATTCTACCCTCAGTCCCCTGTGCTGGCTCGGGTTCTCTGCTGTGGGATGTGGTGGCTGCAACCACAGGCCACCGTCTGGCTACCAATGTCATCAATCCTCAGTTCTCTTAGGACAGTTTGAGCCCCTTCCTCAGGTGTCTCTGACAGATCTGGTCCCACCCTATAGAGACCATGGCTGAGAGCCAGGAGGGGGAGCCTCCCTGGATGGGGCTTCGGTCCTTTATCCTGGCAAGGACAGGTCCAAGCAAGCTGTGGGGGAGGTAGCAGGTGGGGGTTAGTCATCTACCCTGGGAAAGGCTGGGCAGGGAAGCCTCACCTGCTGGGGCACCTGGATGTTGGTGAGCTGGAGGGGCGACACGTGGCCCGACTTGGCCTGCACACTTGCCTGGACCAGCAGCCGCTGCAGGGATAAGCAGAAGGAGCTGAGCCAGGGTGGCTTCCCCAGGGAGGCCCACCTGGCAGGTCAAGGGTGGCTGCTGCACACATCTTGATAAGACCAGGTGAGCAGATGGCTCTGGCAGCAAGGCAGGTGGAAGGGCAAGACCCCCAAGGTCCCCGCCAACACTGCCCCCTTATAGCCCCTCCCCAGGGGAAGGCTACATCGTACCTGCTGGGTGCCCTGTACCTGCTGAACCACCTGAGTAGGGACGCCGGTCTGGCTGGCCGTGGAGCCCGGGCTGGCCTCCGACACAGTCTCACTAGCCCGCATGGCACCTTCTGTGGGGACAGGCAGCCAGGTCAGCTCTGCCCACTGCCTCTACCCCAACCCAGAGCTTGAGCCCATCTGAGGGGCAATGCAGTCCAACGCCGACCCTAGACCCTCAATGCCTGGCCACTCCAAAAGCCCTGTCTGCCCCCTGCCAGGCCCACCATGGGGCCAGGGCATGGTGAAGTGGTGAAGCTAGGAGATTCCAACGTCCTTGACATCTGGAAGCAGTATCCACACCCTCCTTGTCCTGAGCTGGATCAGAGGGGGTGAGAAGCCATGATGCCCCAGAGGCCCAGGGCTGAACCCGTTCCCATCATACAGGGCTTGTGGGTAGCAGCAGACGGACTACATCCCACAGGGTTCCGGCAGCTCAGGGAGGACTAAGGTGCTAGGCACCTTCTCCAAATGACCCCTGGCTTCCCAGGAGAGAAGGGTGGTCAGAGGAGTGGTCCCCGGAAGACATCACTGACCTGCAGTCACCTGCTCTGTTCCAACTTCCCTGTGCCCAGCGGTGTGGGGTGGGGGTACCAAGGGGGCCTGGGGCAAGTACTCACGCTGACAGGCAGCCAGAAAGAGACAATCATAGAACATGGTGCCCGCCCGCCCGCTCCCCCACCCCCTTCTGGCAGCACCCAGGGCCTGCCTGGCTCTCCTTGCTGCAGGCCCACCTCTGTGGGTACAGCAGGGTGTGCAGGCAGATTTATATCTGCAACCTTGGGGACCTAATCCCCTGGGTGGTTGCAGAACTCCCTCATGCCCTCTTGGATAAACACTCTACTCCCAGAGGGCTGCCCAAGGGGGCTGGGGCAGCATCCAGGGCAGGAGGGAGGCTGGTACCCGGAGATGCTATCAGGCATGGGGAGGTCAAATTTCATGCACATCTTGCTGAGTGATTAACGAGGCTGTAGGGGGGCAGGGAGGACAGCAGCCTCAGGAGGCACTGGCCAGAAGACCCTTACCCAAGCTGGGATACCATCTGCCCTGTCCCCTCCATGTGGCTTGACCCCCAGCAGGTCCAGAGGCCAAGGAGGATGGGGATGGACACCTGCTGTCCTTGCTTCAAGGAGCTGTTGGAAGGAGTCAAGGCCTCATTCTGCCTTCTTTGGGCTTGCCTGGAGTCTTGAGGGGGTCATCCACCCTCCCTGTCCCCTGTGGGAACCAAGAGTGACTGAAGATATGGTAACAGACACTACGAGGCACTGTGCGGCCTCTTTCCAGCAGGCAGAGCCAGCAAGAGTTCTTGGCCATTGTCAGATAAGGCAACAGAGACCAGGAGACAGGAAGTGCCTTGCTTGGCTCAGCTGGGAACTGACCAGCCAAGCTACAGGCCTCCCTCACACCACATATGGAACCCAGAACCACTGGTTGAGCTTGGGCTGAGGACTTGGGCAGAGGGTGCACAGTCTGACCCCTTTTCAAGACCCAGGGGATCCCAGCATGGGGCACAGCCTCCAAAGTGAGGAGCTGGCTTCACCTGTGGAGGGAGACACAGGAGAGGAGCCTGGCCGGGGCATATGTGAGGACCTCAAGGCCAAGTCCAGGGCAGAAAACATGAGTGTGTACTGAGGGTGGGGACTGCCAGATGTGAGAGAAAGTGTGTGGAGAGCCTCCTGTGATCCCATGTGGGACTGGCATGTGGACAATCCCAGGCCTGCTAGGCCAGATGTCTGGGCAGCCAATTGCAGGTGTTGCTGGAATCTTCCTTGGCAGAGGCCCTCGCTGCCTGGGCCCCTCTGGGAGAAACCTGAGCTGGCCCAGAATCACGTGAGGGGCCGGCACACCTGGGTTGTCTGGGACTCAGGGAGCCAGGCTCAGCCTGAGGGGTGGCGCCTGACTAAGGAAACCCATGGGGGAAGTGGGTTGCCTGGCTCCAGATGGACTGTAAAACCTGAGGCTGACCCTTGAGTGGGACCTTCTGCAGCTGGGGACCTCCTGAGGTCAGGCCTTTGAGGAAAGCAGTCTGTCTCCCGCCTCTGGGTGGCCCTCAAGGCCACCCCCCACCCCACAACACACACACCGACCTGTCACTGAGCAGGCCAGAACACATCATGGAGATGAGTAGGTGGGTGTGCCCTTTGGGAGAGGGGCTTCCTGTGTGCACATCCCTGTCTGGGCATGGGTTCCACCTTAATGTGCTGTGGCGAGGGGGAGGGGGAGGGAAAGCAGGGACACCTGTCTGTCTGACAGCTCCAGTTTGGGCATGTGCACAGGCCATGGGGCCCCACCATCGTCTTGTCAGGAAGCTGCAGCCAATTTCCTGTCTCTGAGTCTAACAACGTCTCTGATGCGTGGGCTGTCCCTCCTCCCGGGCCAGCTTCCCCATCCAGGCTACTCATATGTAAGTGAGCCACTTGGGACACAAGCGGAGGCTCTAGATGCTGTGTCCCTGGGTCCCCCACCACTCTCTTCCCCAAGGACAGACACACAGACCACCTGGCTCTCTCCCTCCTATTCCTTTGTTCCTGACAGGGGCTCCTGTGATGTATGTGGGTCTGCACCCTTGCTGTCCCTAGGGTCCTGTCTCTGTGCTGACCTCAGTTTCCCCACCTGTGCTGGGGGTGCTAACCAGCCCCTCTACTTCCTTGTTCTGGACACAGCTTTCTGGGTCTCCCAAGAGCCCCACATGAGAGGGTGGCGGGGAAGCATGGCTGGCCATGTCGTCCTCTGGACCATCCTGTTCCCTTCAGCCAGGCTCAATTTCATTTACTGGGGTAGCACAGCTCCCCTCCTTCCACCTTAGGTTCTAGGTGACAATCTGGAGGCTTGAGAGGATGAGAACTGTTGATCAGTGCCGTCCTGACCAGAGAGAGACCTGTTTCCTTTCCCTGGCACCTCAGAGCAGAGCACACAAGGCCTGGATGGACACACAGCTCCTGGTTTAGATCCAGACCCTTCTGTGGCCTCCCAGGGTTCCTGGTCTGCCCATGGCTCACAGCTCTGGAGCAGTCCCAGGTGGCTCCCTATAGCCTTCTCCAGTGTCAGTTCCCCTGCCCTCCCCCCAGGGACCACTCACATGGCCCAGGCTGTGAAGGGATTCTAACCTGGACAGCAGACAGGGAAGGTGGGGGAGAGGCCTGTGGGCAGGACAGCATCCACCCTCCCCTCCTTCTGAACCAGTAGAGGAAGCACTGCCAGGTGACCCTTCCAAGGACAGGCTCGCTCCTGCTGGAATGGGGAGCATCGGGGAGATGAAATCTCCCAGGACCACTGGAAAAGGCTGACACATAACCATCTCTGTGGCATGCCATCCCGGCCCCACAGCAAGTGGAGTCCAGCCTGAATCTGACTGACTCAAAGGCCATGCTGTGGCCTTGACCTCTAAGGACTAAGGAGGCAGAAGGAAAGGCCTGGGGTGTTCTAGGGCCTGAAGCAGCATGCCTACTCCAGACACTTGCCCTGGGGACCCCAGTCCCTGAGTCATGAGAGACCCAGGACCAGATGGATGCCCTGGGTGCTGAGCAGAGCCCTCTGGTAGGCACAAGAGGGCCACATCACACACCCCCTGCACTCTCAGGGGCATGATGGGATATGATGGTCATGCGGTATCCTAGGCTGGGCTGTTTTGGGTCAGGCCCAAGTTCACCAGTCATTCTACAAAGACTTAGTGGACAGAAGCCTCCCCTTGAGGACAACAGGCACTGGTACTATCATCATCACCATCACTTCATGTCGTGGTAAGTGTCCAGAATAGGAAGGTGTGGCTGGGCATGGTGACATATCCCTATAATCCTAGCACTTGGGAGGCTGAAGCAGGAGGCTGAGGAATTGAAGGTCAGCAAGACCCTGTCTTAAAAAAAAAAAAAAAAAAAAAGGCAAATGAAAGGAAGAAGAGAGTGACAGAGTGGAGGAGTGGAGGAGTGGGGGACGGTGGGGAGTCAGGGAGGTGGCTCTGAGCAGAGACCTGAAGAAGTACAGGTGGCAGAAGAGTGGGGAGTCTGAGCAGAAGGCACCAGAGTACAAAGGCCAGGAGGCATGGCCAAGCCTGGTGGCTTTTTAAATCCTTTTGTCAGGCTGGGGCATGGCTCAAGCGGCAGAGTGCGTGCCTAGCATGTCTGAGGTCCTGAGTTTAATCTCCAGTACCGCCAAAAAAACAAAAAAAATCCCTGTGTTTTCTTTTGTTTGTTTGTTGGGGTGGGAGGCCAGGACCAGCTCTCCAAGGGCTGGGAACACCTAGGCCCTGAGTCACCTGGGTCAAACTAGGAAAAAAGGGACCTAAAAGAGCTGTGGATGGGCTCCCTGTGGCTGCTATGAGGGCAAAGTAGAGGCTGGGCAGGGTGTGGTCGTGGGCAGGGCAGACTTGGACCAGTCCTAGTTGGATTTAGAGGCAGAGCCAAGACGGCTGAGTAAGACAGGAGCTGAGATTCATCCTGAACTGCATGGATAGAGAAATCTCAGAGGGAGGATGTGAACAGGGGAACAATTCAGAATTCCATCTGGCCATGCTGGGTGAGAGGCCAGCTCAACCTCAGGTCAAGAGTGTCTGGGCATAGGACCTTGTGGCTCAGGCTGAGGCTCTGAGTGGAGTCCTCAATGTAGCCATCAAAAGCTGTGACCGGGCTGGGCACCAGTGGCTCACACTTGTAATCCTAACTACTTGGGAGACTGAGATTGGAAGGGTCCAAGTTCAAGGCCAGCCTGGACAAACAGTTCTCCAGATTCCATCTCTAAAAATAATCAGAGTAGCGAGCCAGGCAGCATGGGCTCCTAGAAGCCACCAACAATCCAGGATAGGAGGGGAGCGCAGAGGTCAAGGATGACAAGGACCCAAAATGAGGAGTGAATCTGACAAGACAGGGGCTAAAGGGCCCCTGACCCAAGTTGATGGGGGAAGAGGGAGTGGGTGTAGGGAATGGGATGGCAGGAAATCTGACTTAAAGGGAAACAAAGCAGCCAGGGCAGCTGCACAGGCAGAGGACCTGTGGCCCATGGTTAACACAGAACCTTTGCATCTATAGGCTACAGGGAAAGACCTCAAAGGACAGAGTGACACAGGGTTGGGGCAGGGGGAAGCAGGTCCTGCGGGAATGGCCTGGGACAGGCTCTCAGTGGGCTTACTCCTGAGGAGCAGATGCAGAGGTGTTATCTGCTGGTACCCTGTCCCCAGTAAGTGCAGGCTCAGGCAGGGTAGAGGGGAAGTGGGAACACACGAGTGACAAAATGAATGTCATGAGTCAACTGCATAGTGCTGGAAGCAGCAATTTTGCAGCCTGGTGGGCCTGGTCCTGTTCACAGTCTGACCTGAATTGGGGCAGTGGGGTGACCACACAGGCAGGGAGAGCTGAGCACAGCTCTCATGCCAACATATGATAAAGTATCACTGTGTCCCTGCCTCTGACTGTCCCTGGGGGCACTAGACCTTCCATACAGACACTGCCAGGCATGCCCAGATGCTGCCCAGGGCCCTGGCCCCATCTGTCCTGGTTCCACAGGACACAGTGATTGTCACATATATTGATACTCTCCAGTCCTCCTGTCCCCAGTCAGGAGTCTTTCCTTCTTTTTTTTTTTTTTTTTTTTGGCAGCACTAGGGTTTGAACTGATGCTTGCTAGATAGGCATTCTACCACTTGAGTCACACACCCCCAGACTTTTTCTCCATTTTCTCAATTTTATTTGTTTATTTATTTATTTATGTTACTGGGGCTTGAACTCAAGGCCTACACCTCGAGCCCTCTACCAGCCCTTTTTTTGTGAAGGGTTTTTTCAAGATAGGGTCTCACAAACCATTTGCCCAGGTTGGCTTTGAACCACAGTCCTCCTGATCTCTGCCTCCTAGTAGATAGGATTACAGGTGTGAGCCACCAGCTCCTGGCACAATTGTAGTTTTTTTTCAGAGGGTCTTGCACTTATGCCTTGGGCTGGCCCCAGATCATGATCCTCCCACATATGCCTCTCAAGTAACTGGGATTATAGGTGCATGCTATTATGCCTGACTTTTTTGTTGTTGTCAAGATGGGGGTCTTAGTAACTTTTTGCCCAGGCTGGCCTTGAACCCATCTCTTGCCTCCTAGGATTACAGCTAGGATTACAGGTGGGAGCTGCCGTGCCTGGCTCCAACCCCCAACCCAATCTTGACCTGCCCCTCACAGAACCTCCAGGAAACCCTGAAGGTCCTTCATGTCCTTCTCCACCCCAGAAAGGACTAAGGCCAGCTTCAACGCAGGTCTCACGGTTTCTGCAGCCTGAGGCCCAGCTATGCCTCATTCCCACTGACACCGAGTCAGCCAAGACAAAGACCCACGCTCCCAAACAAGCAAGAAGGCTGCCAGGTTCTAAGAACGGCATGCCATGTTTAGTCTGAAAAACTCGGGGAACACAGGCTAATTCAAGATGACCAGATCTGAAGCCAAGTGCAATGATGAGTCCAAAATGAGAATGAAAGGGAGATCAAGGAGGGGGTAAAGGCAGAGCCCATCCTGGCTTGGAGCCCCACCCTCCTTCCTTGTCTTTTGGAGGGTCACCGTGGTCCCCTCTCTGCCTCCCAGCGCTCTGCCTTGTCAGTCCCTGAAAGGAACCAAAGAGGAACCCAAAGCTCTGAGGACACTGTGAACCAAGTCCCTGGTCATTTTCTCCAAGGCTCACAGGGGCCACAGTGAGAGCGTCACTTCCTCCTGAGGTTGCTTGGCCCACAGTCCTGCAGGGCCCTGGATCCACCAGGAGGGACAGGGTTGCCCCCCATGGAGGGAGGTGGGTGACACATCCAGGCCCCCAGCCAACAGCCCTCAAGGTCCCAGTCTGGGTCGGCCTGCTGTGAACACCTGGCACACGTTCCCTAGGAGTGAGAAGCTGATAGCCCCTTCATGGATGGAGAAACTTGAGACAGCGAGGCCATGGGGCCACTGGGCAGCCTGACTCCACAGAGTCTGCCCACTAAATTCTCCGCCCAGTCCTCTCTTCTGATGACATCTCACCAGGGGACGGGGTCAAAACAAGCCTAAGAGCTGTCCTAAGACAGACCTTAGGGAGCACAGAGGCCCCCCATTTGGCCTACCTTTTCCCCAGAGATGGCCCCAAATTCCCACCGGGAATCTGGGCATCCCTAGCACCCACACCCAGGATGCAGGGTTCCCAAAAACTACTCTGAGAGCCCCCCCACTTGGAGCACGTACGCAAACTTACCCGAGACGGTGACCACGATGTACTGCTGGGTGGCAGGGGATGGGGTGGGCGCGCCCGTGGGTTGTGAGGGTGTGGGGGCGGCCGGGAGCTCCGTCACGTACTGCTTCTGGCTGCCTGGTGGCTGTGCCTGGGGCTGGGGGCTCTGCAGCTCAGTGACATACTGGGTCTGGGGGGTGGCACTGGCAGCAGGTGGCTGTGGAGCGGCTGGGGGTGGCGGTGGCGGCGGCTGGGCCTGGGGTGGGGCCTGGGGGGTCTGGGATGCTTGTGGGGCTGCCTGTAGCTCCGTAACGTAGGCTTGTGTTGCCATGCCAACAGTGGGGAAATGATAATAAATAAGGCTTTTTTTTTTTTCTCTTCCTTGCAAAGAAAGAAGGGGTGGGGGGAGAGAAACAAAAAACAAAAAACAAAAGAAGGAAAAACAAGAATTAATGTACAGGCAGAGGAAAGCAGGGATGGCTCCCAGCTCCCTGGAGATGTGTTTGGGTTCGTCACTAACTTAATTAAATCCGCGGCTGGTGGCCAGATATAACCCACCCGGCACAGTGGGGGATCTGGGTGTGGGTGAGGCTGGCGGCGTACCCTGTGCTCCTCTACTCAGGGCAGGGATCCCGCCCTCAAGCCCCTGGTCCACCTCTGCTCATGCCTCCCTGGGCCTGGGATGGGGGAATTCGGCCCATCTGGGGGACTCTGTCCTCTGCCAGAGACTAACAGTACAGTTCTCACCAGGTCAGCTCTCCAAAACCAGGCTACATTGTTTCATTTTAAAGTTAGCAACATCATCTGTGGGTTTGGGTTGGGTGACCAGATGAAGAGCTAAGGCTCAGAGAGGGTAAGGCCTTTGTCCCAGGCCACACAGCAAGGAAGTGTCAGAGTTTGAACCCTGATGTTTTGCACCCCTGACCAGTCAGCTTACTGCTCGAAAGAGAAGGCACGAGAAAGCTATCTCCAGCGAGGCTGTGCCAACGCCCCGCTTGCCTCCCATCTGGATGTAGATTCTCACTGAGCATCATTCCCAGTGGGGTGCCAGACACCAGTAGGTGTCTGAGTGCAAAACTCCCCCTGAGCTGTGTGTGGCCATGGAGGTTTGGGGTGTGGGTCTGGGAGCCCATGGTTGGGGAAAGTGCCCTTCTGAGGCTGAGGGCAACCGTGTGCTGGCCTCAGGCTGTGGCAACTTTCAGGTGCTAAGGTCCCTCTCCCAGAGGCTGGCTGGGCCGGGCTTCTCTCCTGCTCAGCAGCTAACCCAGAGGCTCTTCTGGGCTAACCCTCTAGTGCCGGTGTGCCATGCCACCAGCAGGCAGCTCTACAGTCACAGGGTGACCCATAGTGGGACTTCCAAGAGTGGAGGAGCAAAACAAGCACTGTTCACCGGCCAATAGCCTGAGCCCTCATCTGGCCTGGCCTCTTCCCTGTGGCCCCAAGGGACAATAACACTCTTGTTTTACAGATGAGCTGACTGAGGCTAAGGTGGACTACCCCAAGCCTCTCCCCCTCTCTTCCCCCACACACATTTGGGTTTGTCACTAAATTAAACACCCAGGCTGGTGACCAGTGTAATCCACCCATCACTGGGAGCTCTCGGTCCGCAGCCATACTCAGGACGCCCAGCCTGGGGTTCATTTACTTCTATCAGTAGTAGACAGCATTTTCCCCGTAGTTCCCACGGGGACTCTGGCCACCTGCCCGTGGTCCCAGTTAGGGCAGCAGAACCGGCAGCTGGCCCGAGCACTGGAGGAGGCACAAAGGCAGCACGGCACCGTCCTCCATCCTGCCCCTCCCAGGATCTAGGATGTCTTTTGATGCCACACTTCAGGAGATATCCAGCAAGCAGGTGAGAACCAAGCCTGGACAGGGCCCGCTGCATGACTCGAATTTGAACACCTCCTAGTGTGCGGCTTTGAGGAAGCCTTGGACGTCCCATGTGTGGAACAGGGGTTGGCAGGCCTTATGATGTGGGGTTGTACAGCTCAGGCTGGAGCCCAGACCAACCGGGTGTGCAATGCCTGGCTAAGTGCCTGGCCCATCAGAAGTGCCTGTGAGGGCTGGGGGTGCATCAGTGGTCCAAGGCTTGCCCGGCATGGGCAATGTAGTGGGCGAGAGGGAAGGAGGCAGGCAGAGAGGGAGGGAGGGGGGGAGGGAGGAACTGAGAGGAAGGGAAGGAAGGAAGGAAGAAGGAAGGGAGGGAGGCAGGAAGGAAGGAATGAGGAATAGAGAAGAAGAGAGGAAGGGACGGAAGGAAGGAAAAGGAAGGAAAGAGAGGGAAGAAAGAAGATGGAAAGGAAGGAGAGGGAGGGAGAATAGGGAGGGAGAAAAGGAAGGAAGGAGGGAGGGAAGGAGAGGGACAGAGGGAAAGGGAAGAAAGGCATGGAAGGAAGGAAGAAGGAAGGAAGAAGGCTGGCTCAGGAAATGACGCTGGCTCCAGTCATGCCCTGGGTCCTGTAACAAGGTTCCAGGAAAGACAAAAGTGCTCCCACACAGCCTCCCTTCCAGCTGCCGAGGACAAAGGAAGGACTGGGGGCTCCTCCCGGCCTCCTGAGCGTGCTAGCTGGGCTAGGAGAGGACTGGGAGAGGGTGCAGAGCCCAGAGCCACCTTCCCTGGCAGATCAGGCCATTCTTGTGAGAGGGCAGATGGGGAGAGGTGGGCTTGATTCAGACCACTATCTTGGCTACCTTGGGGTGTCCTGCCAAGTAGTGAAGCACAGGCCTCAGTGCTGCCCTGCCGGGGATCTGGACAGAGGAAGAACCTGCCTGTTGGAGAGGGGAGAGGCTGTTGCCTGCCACACACAGGAAGGAGATATCCCCCTCCAGCTCCTGTGCCCCCACACTCCTTCCTGCCAGCATGAAGAGGCTGCCTCCAGGGGGCTCACTGTCGCCCATGGGTACCTGCCTGCTTTGCTGAACCCAGGTGCTGCCTCTCAATGAACCAACTGACCTCAGCGCCTCAGTTTACCCTCCTGTCACCTGGGCTAATGAGAACACAAGGTTCACAGGGCTGTGATGAGATCAGCTCAGCACCCAGTGAGCACTGACAAGTGACAAGTGCTGTTATTAATTCAACAACTATTCTTGCCAGGTGGGGACAGAGGTGGAAGGTGACAGACACAACCCTCAAGGCGTTGGAAAGGCAATGAGGGGGGAATCCAACCTGCACTTCCATCAGCATCCCCTGGGGAGCTGGGCCCCTCTGCACAGTCTAAGATGGCCTGGGGCCTGTTTTAGTGACATCTCCTCCCCTCTTCACCTTTGATTTGAGGCAGGTTGTCCTGGGGCCGCAGCTGGCCCCGTCCACAAGGAAAGGAACTTAAAAGCTCCACACTGGCCAGTGTTTCCTCCTTTTAGGGACACAAAACCTGTAGGCCTCACTCCTTCTAAACAGGGGCAGGGAGAAGTGGTGATGGTGAGAGTTGAAAGCTTGCGTGTTCCCTACACAAACCACACAAGGACACAGCAGGCAGCATTCCCTATATTTCAGCACAAGATCCCTTTCTTCACGGCAGGTGTTGCATAAAACAGGAGACCTCCTGGACCAGTATATTCTTTGGCAATGAATCTGTCAAAAAGAGCACTAGTACCTGCACCTGTTTCCAAAGGCAACGGCTATGATTTGGAACCCACTCTTTCAGATCTGAGGCTATGAAGGGCCAGACAGTAAATAGTTTTGTTTTTTTGTCTGTTGCTACTGCCCAACTCTGCCACTGTAGTGTAAAATTATCCACTGACAATATGGAAACAAAGGAGCATGTTGGATGGCAATAAACCCTTTTATTTCCAGATTCGAATTGCATAGCATTTTTGCCTGTCGTGAAATATTAATTCATGTCACCAAATATTCACCTTTTGATTTTTAAAATCTTTCTGTGTGTGTGTGTGGTACTGGGGTTTGAACTCAGGGCCTACACCTTGAGCCACTCTACTAGCCCTTTTTTTGTGATGGGTTTTTTCGAGATAGAGTCTTGTGAACTATTTGCCTGCGCTGGCTTCAAACCGTTATCCTCCTGATCTCTGCCTCCTGAGTAGCTAGGATTACAGGCGTGATCCACTGGCACCCAGCATGATCTTTTCCAATCATTTACATCTTTCTTAGCTCACCAGCCATCTAGAAACAGGCAGTGGGCTGGAGTTGGCTGGGACAGATTCTACAACCAAATGGTTCATGTTGTGGGCAAGGAACGCCCAAAGGCATGGAAGTGTCAATTCCCTTTCCTGGTGTACAGAATGGCTTTAGTACTGCTCTTGCAGGATCACAGGAAACTTTGATAGAATGATACGTGTTTCCCTTGTCCTCCTGTGTAATAGTTTATAAGATCTGTCACTTATTTTCCCAAAGTACACCATACAGCTTGGCACTTCCCTCCATAGGCATCAGCACTGTGTTGGTTGGAGCCGCTACCAACTTTAGCCTGGATTCCTGAAGTTCCTGTCCTCATTCTGGCCTCTGTAGTCCATGAGGGCCCCTCAGCTAGTCTGACATGTCACACTTCTGCCCCAAAGTCATCAAACCCCTGGTCATAGAGAATAAAGAAGGGCTGGCAGAGTGGTACAAGTGGCAGAGCACCTGCCTAGCAAGTGTGAGGCCCAGAGTTGAAACCCCAGGACAACAACAACAAAAAAAGAGAATAAAGGAAATGGAGAGAAAGCCAACCCCTCTTGGCCCTTTCTGGCTCTGACTGTTGGTCTAAGAATGTCCCAGATTCCTCCTGCCTCAGGGCCTTTGTACCACCTCTTCTTCCCAAGTGGCATTCATTCCAGATTCCACACCCACCCTTACTCCTGGCTCCTTCTTATCGCTCAGTTCTCAGACCGTGTGTCACTTCCTGTGCTGACAAGTGCCCCCCCACAAGCTCTCTCATTTTATTTACTTCCTGGCACTGCATGTCCCTATTTATTTATTTTCTTATTCATAGATTCTCTTCCTTCTGCACTGGAAAGGTAAACTCTCCAGGGGTGGAGGCCAGCCTGCCTCACCTATCCCTCCACCCCAGCTCCTGGAATACTCATGGCCACCCATTGGGAACTCTACTCCTTTATTTCACTTACGTATTTATTTTCTTGTAGTGCTGGAGATGGAACCTAGGGCCTCTGCACATGCTAGAGTGCTCTACCACTGAGTCATAACCCCACCCCAGCACCAGGGAACCTCAACTCTTTTTTTGTTTTTGTTTTTTTTCGGTCTCAGGACCTACACCTTGAGCTACTCCACCAGCCCTATTTTTGTGAAGGGTTTTCAAGATAGGGTCTTGAGAACTATTTGCCCAGGCTGGCTTCGGACTGCGATCCTCCTAAGCTCTGCCTCCTAAGTAGCTAAGATTACAGGAGTGAGCCACCAGTACCAGTTTACTCTTATTTTATCCAATGATGAACTGGCTGGGATAGGAGCGGCTGGAGGGGAGCTGGCAGAGTGGCTCAAGTGGTAGAGCACCTGCCTACCAAGCATGAGGCCCTGACTTCAAGCCCCAGCACTGGAAAAAAAAAAAAAAAAAAAGCCGCCTGAAATCCACCAATTACCTGGGGAGAAAGTTACTGCCTCTGGCCAGCAGCACCCTTCTGCTACCCGGGCTGGGATACCCCCTGGCACCCACCCAGTCAGAAACTCTGTGCACCCATCCAGCTGCCTCTGAAGGCTGTGGCCCCAGGAGCATCTGTCCGATCATCCCCTGCCAAGTGAAAGGAGGTGACTACCTTCCCCACCATGTCCACACCCCAGCCAGTCAACTTTAAAACCACAAGGCTGTCCCTCAATCCAAAATGACAAAAATAAATGCTGACTGTTGATTGTGGAGAGCAGGGCAGGAAGTGACAATCAGCATAATGACAGCAGAGGCTAGCAGAGTTTGGGCAGTCACTCTGTACTCGGTGCTTGACATGTGTTATTTTATGGATAACATGAGATTAAAATGGTTACTGCCGCTTAGCTTAGATGAGGGGAACTGAGGCCCAAAGAAGTTCAGTAGCCCACCCAAAACACACAGCTAAAAGCACGTGACTGTCAAGGACAAGTAAAGGAAGGAAGCCAGTGTCAAATGACACTTTGGGCTCAGGACTTTCTCCTTACTGGTGGGTGGGGGAGGCAGACTCAGTTAAGCAGACCAGATAATAGGTACTGTTCAGGTCAGCCTTCCTGGTATGAACTAATGATCTTCTCAGTAATGTGCTATTTCTACAGTAATACTGAAAACTAATCTTCACCTGTCTTAACTGTCAAGCAGTCTTGTCTCCAGGGTAGGAGGGTCTGGCCCAGAAAAGCTCCCTAGAGAGGTGAGCCCCCACCCCCCTACCAGCCTAATTTCAAATTCTTGGAGGATGTGTATTGATTCACAGGCAGACACCAAGCTCAAATGCAAGATGGAGAGTAAGCAAAGTAGACTTGACCTGGCTAGCTACTTGAAAAACAAAACAAAACAAAACTTCCCCCAAGCTGGCAGATCTTGCTTCGTCGCCCCCCAAAAATCAGTTGCAAAGAGTCACCGCTGACAAATGTGGAGGTTTGCCCTTTCCTCTGACCGCACACTCGATCCTGCCCACGTGGCTCTGTAGGCCGGTATGTCCTGGTGACATGTGACCTTGTTGATACTAACTTCACACAAAAACATGTGTCTGGCCAAGGGAAGTGGCTTAATGAATCTAAGAAACTTCCTCAAGCGCATTTTCTTCCCCATTTCCAGAGGGGAGACTTTGATAAGCAGAAGAAGTAGAGGAAAAAGTCCCAAGACCACAACAAGCTCCCCCACCCCCACCCCCGACTGGGGACCACAAGAGGATTCAGGCCCCAGTCGGGAGAGAAATAATCAAGTTTCAATTTGGATGTATCTGTCACTCATGATCATCCTCGCTGGCATGGGCAGTTTGATTTCTGCAAATCGACTCCTCCAGGCCACGGCCAAGTTTTCTCCTAGTCACCACTTCTCCAAGAAACTTTGTGGCCCCTTGGCTTCCTCTCAGAGAGAAGGCAGTTTGAAAAGTGTTGAAATCAAGACTATAGTTAACAGCTCATCTATCCAACCACACTCAGAAACAAAGGGAAAGGATTCCAAGAGAACCATAAAGAAATTCCTGGGAGGAATTAGGGGTTCGTGGAATGCAAAGAAAGTCAGATGGCAACCATTCTCCCCACTTTACGGGATGGAAAACTGAGTTCTCAAACGTGGCAGGCACTTGTCCCAGCTCTAAATTCCAAAAACAACTACTGAGATATAAAAGGGACGCCGCATAGACGGCCTTCTATCGTTCCTGGGATCGGATGGCCAGGGTGGTGACTGCTCCCGGGTGTCCCCCCCCCCTCGCCCGGGCGGGAGGCGGGGGGGTGGGGGGGAGAATGGCCCCGCCCATCCACCTTGGCTCCGCCTGGCCCCTCTCTCGCTCCCATTGGCCCAGCCTCCATGGGCCCGCCCCTTCGCACCTCCCGACATATAAAAGCCCCCCGCCCGGGCCGCTCGACCTCCACTTGCCGCTGGTCTGCGAGCGCCCGCCCCTCGTGGGGGACGGGCCGCGGGACTGGGGGGCGGGTGGTGTCGCCCCAGCTGCGCCCCGGCCCCCTCCCCCACGGTCCCGACAGTCGCCGACGCCATTTTGATCGCCCGCCCCTTCCCCCGAGCTGTGATTACAGCGACACCCGCTGCCTGGGCCCCACCGCCTGCCCCGTCCCGGCCAACCACCCTGGGGCTGCCCCGGTTACCTCGGCTTCTTCCCACTTCTGTCCGCGGAAGGGCTTTACGGAAGTCTCAGAGGCGATGTTAGGAAGGGGACGAAACGTGCCAGGGTCCCCAGGCCGGGCCGGGGGTGGGGGTGGAGGTGGGGGTCGGCCGGGCGGTTGTTGTTGTTGACTCGCGTTGCCGGGTTGCTTGGTCGCCACGACTACCGTGGCTATGGCGCCTCCGTTTCCCTCACCGGGGCAACTGTTGCTACCCACCCTACCTACGTCACGCGCCGGGGGCGGGGCCATGGGTGATTGGCGGTGCTGGGAGATGTGATTGGATGGCACTGGGCCCCTCCAGTATGCTATTGGCTCAAAGCCATGCTTTTCAACACCCGCTCGACTTGCAGGCGCTCGGATTCATTGGTATGAATGTCCATCAAAAGAAACTCAACCCTTAAAGGCGGTGGAGCCCGTCACTCCCGCAAGGAAGCAGCGGGCTAAGAATAAAGGGGTGGGACCTGTGAGGCTGGGATTGGGTTACGGCTGTAAACTCTGCTTTCTGGTTCGATTAACAGGATGTCAATCTACTCATAGCTTTGCCGCGCTCTCCTGCGGGGGGTGAGGGGGGCGAGAGGGGCGGGGAGGAGAGAGTGCGCATGCGTATCGTGCAAGGCTGGTTGGGTATTGTAGTCCGCTCTCACGTACTTAAAGTGACTTACCAAATCAAAAAATGCGAGAAAGGAAAGATCTCTTCCTTTAGACTTGTCTCTCCCTCGGTGGGCCAGTTTTTGGTCTCGCGCTGACGTCACGGGAGGAATGCGGTGACGCAGAGCTGCCCTTCTGTGACGTCAGCGGCAGAGGCCGGGCTCGGGGCTCGATGACGTCACGGGAGCGCTTGCCCACTGCCTTAAGAGAGTGGAGTGGACGTGGGGTTCCATCCTACCTCCCAGACATGGAGCGACCCTAGGTCGGCTGGAAAGCGCGGCCGCCCCGCCCTCTCCCGCCTCCCCGCCGCCTCGGCCCGGAAAGGTCACCGCGGGCGGCCGACGGTGGCTATCTCGGCCACGCAGGCGGTCAGCCGCCGGGAAAGGTCTCCCGGGGGCGGGGGACTTCATTAGCTGCCTCCGCCGCGGGCCGTCAGCCAAGGTCAGCGGCGCCCGGCCTCTCCCCGCAGTCCCGGCCCCCCCGTGCCTCAGTTTCCCCAGCATACCGGCCAGGTGCAGCGGGAGGCAAAGGTGAAACCTAAGCACCGCCCCGGCTGGACTCGCATAAACGTCGTCATCAAGTAAATGCAATGTTTAAAAACCTCATCAACGAGAAAAATAAATGCAGCATGAACCAAATACTAACATGTTAAAGATAGGATCCACCAGCACCAGCACCGGGACTAGGGTGAGGTGAGTCGTGCAAGAACACGGGGTTGGTTGCATCTTGTCTTTAATTTTTTTTTTTTTTTTTTTGATTCAGGGTTTTTGTAAATGAGTAGATTATAACTGCTCTTACCACAGGGAGGGGATATGAGCAGCTATGTGTGATGACGAATATGTTAATTTGTTCCTCCATAGTAACCATTTTACTATAATGTGTGTCTTAGAACATCAGGTTGCATACCTCGAAAATACAGTATAAGCCCAGTACAGTGATGCACTCCTGTAGTCCCAGACACTAGGCAGGCTGAGGCAGGAGTTCAAGGCCAACCTGGGCAATGTAGCCAGACCGCCCCATCTCAAATAATAATGATAAATAAAATTATTTATTTTAGTGAGACTCAGAAAGACAACTATCATGTATTCATTCACTTGTTTGCAGAAGCTAGACATAAAAAATAAATTTTATTTTTAGAATGTATGTATTTTTCAACCTTTTTGGGTTTTTGGTGTTGGGGATTGACTTAGGGACTGGTACATGCTGAGGACACAGTATTCCATGAAGCTGTACACCCAGCCCCAACCATATGTTTTTTCTGTTTTGTATTTTTGGCCATACTGGGATTTGAATTCAGTGCCTCATGCTAGCCAGGCAAACTCTACCACTTGAACCCCTCCACCAGTCCTGTGTTTAAGGACTGGATCTCAAAAACTGTTTTCGTGGGCCTGGCTTTGAACCTTGATCCTCCTGATCTCTGCCTCTTGGGTAGCTAGGATTACAGGCATGAGCCACTGGCACCTGGCACAGTCATATGTTTGTTTCATTCTTTTGCAGTACTGGTCTTGAACTCAGGGCCTTCACCTTGCGCCACTCCACCAGCCCTTTTTTATGAAGGGCTTTTTCGAGATAGGGTCTCACAAACTATTTGCCTAGGCTGACTTCAAACTGCAATCCTCCTGATCTCTGCTTCCTGTGTAGCTATGATTACAGGCGTGGGCTAGTCATATTCTTTTTGATAATTTATTTTAATCATAGTTTTTAGTTTTACATTCATGTCCATTTTTAAAAATATTAATCACCTTGATGACTCAGGGTTTTTTCACCAGTCCCTAAAATTTTGCACCTTTATCCCTTAGCAGAGGCAGAGGAAGGAGGAAAAAGAAAAAGGTTGTCATTGCAGCTCTACTGTGTGATAGTGACGAAGTGCTTGAACCTCTCTGAGCTAATCTTCTGTTTCCTAGGTCAACCAGGTGTTTTTTAAAAGTGAAGAAACAAACACATTCCTTGCCTTTACATCAGACAGAGAGAGAGGATAAGCAATGAGAGTAATAACATCGGTGCGTAGAGGTTGCCCTGGCAGCATTAAGAGGTAGAGGACAGGAACGAGACGATGTCATAGCCAGTATTCTCTAAGGACAGGGCCCTCAGAATGAGCCTGGATGAGAAAAAGCCCCATGGAACCCGGTAGAGGGACTGCAGAGGCTGAGCCTTCATATCCAGAGATGGGATCACGGAAGTAACTGCCCACATAATTCTACAGAAATCCAACAAAATGGAACGAGCCCCCCCACACACACATGGGAGGGAACGTGGGTCCCTTAAGGTCATATGTGTGGAGGTGACACAGCCCAGGCAGCTTGTCTACCTTCTTGGGACTTTCCAGCACCCACAGTGTGACTGTTCATAGGAAAAGAAAAAAAAAAAAAAACAATAGCTCCAGTCTGCCTCGAAAAGCCAGCCCCCCACAAGTCCCCTCAAGAATTAATGAGACTTCTGGGCAAGGGGTGCCCAGGAGGAAACTGAAGTCCATGAATCAAGTTCCTCAACCCCCACCCATGCCTTCTTCCATGAGACAGGTTGGGGTCTTTTATCAGCCATGGGGTCTTTGCTATGTGTAGGGGACCAAGAAGCCCTGTCTTTACCTACCACCCATTTCAGGGACTTGCAGAAGTCCCCTGGCACAGCCAAGCCAAAAAGATTCCTTATGCCTGGTGTGGTGGTTCGTGCCTGTAATCCCGGCATTCTCAAGGCAAGAGGATTGGGAGTTCCAGGCCAGCCTGGGCTACATATATAGATCCTGTTGCAGACAACAAATGACAACAAAAGGAAGTTCACATCAGCTGCTAGTGGCTCACGGCTGTAATCCTAGCTACTCAGGAGGCAGCGATCAGGAAGATCAAGGTTCAAGGCCACCCTAGGCAAATAGTTATCTCGAAAACACTCCTCACAAAAAAGGGCTGGTGGAGTGATTCAAGGTGTAGGCCTTGAGTTCAAAAAAACTTTCAAAGCACTGGCATGTGGAAGAAAAACGACAAAATACAAAGCTGAGCATGCTGGTGCACAGCTATAATTCCAGCATTTAGAAGGCAGAGGCAAAAGGATTAGGAGTTTGAGGCCAGCCTGGGATACATATAGTGAGATCCTGCAACAACAACAACAAAAAATCCAGACCAAAAATATCCAAAATCCTGAAAATAGATCCTCTTAAGTCCTTCCACTTAGAGAACATTTGCTATCTTCATGAATATTTATCACTCTGTTTTATTTACACAGTAGGAAGGCAAGGGTTTTCTTTTTTCTTTTTGAAGTGCCCTGCAAAAGGCCAGTTTTTGAGAGGAAATATAAAGGAAGTTATTAGCTTCTCTGTCTCTAAAATGAGAATGAAACATTGTAGCAAGGAGCTGAAAGGGTGCAGGCAAGATCTAATTACACAATCAGTTTGTGTAAATTACAACATACTCCTGCTCCTGTACAAAATGATACGTGGTGGCTGGGGTGTGGTTGGTGACAAGGAGTTTAGCATGTAGAGGCCCTGGCCTTCCTCCCCAGCTCTGCAAAGGAAATAAAAGGCTACCTCATGTTACTTGATGTATCTGCTCAGGATTCCATGTGGAGAACACCTTGAAAAACCAGTGCACACCTGCACCTTTGTACTCAAGTTCAAGACCAGGCTGGGCTACATAGTGACACCCTGTTTTACAGTAATATTTTTTAAAAAGGGCTAGGGGGTGCAGCTAGAGTATGCAAGGGCCTGAATTCCATCTCCACCTGTGCACAAAGATAAGAAGAATGAAATAAAATTAGCTGGGCACTGGCGACTCACATCTGTAATCCTCACTACTCAGGAGGCAGAGATCAGGAGGATCGAAGTTCAAAGCCAGCTTGGGAAAATAGTTCACCAGACCCTATCTTGAAAGACCAAAAAGGGCTGGTGGAGTGGCTCAAGGTGAAGGCCCTGAGTTCAAACCCCAGTACTTCAAAAATAAATAAATACATAAAATAAAAATAAATAAGCTTGGAGAAAAGGCAAGCTGTGAAGACATATTTCCAACCTAACTCATGATCAGATGGCAAGTCCCCTTCACATGTAAAGAAGACTAGAAATGAAGGAAAAGATGAACAACCCTAGAGAATAAAGACCAAGGGAAGGAACCTACAGAGCGAAAAGTGAATTATAAATAGCTCTGGAGCACATGGAGTTTTGCTCTGCCTGACTTGGGACAGGGAAATGCAGTTTTTTTGGGGGGAGGGGGGACTGGGGTTTGAACTTAGGGCTTTGCATTGAAAATCAGGTGCTGTACTGCTCAAGCCACACCTCTGGTTATTTTGGGGATGGGGTCTCACCAACTATTTGCCTCGAACCTTGATCCTCCTGATCCTGGCCTCCAAAGTAGCTAGGATTGGGCTGGCAGAGTGGCTCAAGTGGTAGAGCACCTGCCTAGTGAGCTTGAGGCCCTGACTTCAAACCTCAGTGCTGCCAAAAAAGAAAATGTAGCTAGGATTACAGGCAGGAGCCAC